AAGTGGTCGTTCCAGGCCCCACTGCGAAACCAAGTTCTCTGACCAGGGGTGGTATTTCGTGATCATGAATGAGTACCAGGAGACCTGCACGTGATGCTAACGGGCCGTAATCCCACTGCTGCACGTCTAACACCAGGTGGAGTGCAAAGTCCGTCCCAGGCTGTCTCACCCTCAAAATTGGGTTACCATCTTTGCCTAGTTATAGAAAAAAGGAACTAGTAGATTGAATTTTCCGTCTTTTACCCCATTCACATACACGTAACTATCGGTCATAGCTTCAGCAAGACTCTAACCAACAAATTACAAAGTTTAAGAAAATGTTCAAAGATGCATAAACTTTATTTTATCTCAAATTCGAAAGCGGTGGCACAGAGCTAAAATAAATATATATTTTTTTTTTCTACGAGAAATATTACCATTTAGTATATCGCATGCAGGTGAATAGCGCTTTTCGTGCGCGCTGATTGGTTAGTTTGAAGGTGATTAGCAAGTACTATTCTCCTCCCAGATGCCGAAAATCGCGCGACAACAATTTAATTTCTGTCCATGTATTAGTATACTGACGGAAATAAACTATTTTTTCGGTTTCTGTGTGTCATATTCTAAAACAGTTATTCACCTTGGTGTCCACCATTATTCACCTCCATTTCGGCGAATGATTGTTAAACATATATCGTACACAAAATGATCAGTGGGAAGAATATTGCGTCCAAATTCAGGACAATTATCAGTACTTCTAAAAGGGTCACATTTAGCCGCAAGAAATTTTATTAAGAGTGTACTCGCCCAAATAACGTTATAAACTTAAAAATGAGTACACTCCAAAAAAGTTGTCACCGCCAAATATTACTTCTGCTTCAAGTTCGTGACTTTACCGTGCCTTTTGTAACTCTACTTGGATGTAACTACCTCTTGTAAAAGAGCTTAATCTTTAGAAAGTGAAGTCATTAAAACAAAATGGCAACATTGAAGGGTATTGCGAATGGAATCTCATTAAACCAAAATCAAAGTTATAATTTCCTTTTTTTGGCAATGGCCCATCAGGAAAGAGAGAAAGATGACTAGTGAGCCAACTAATACAACCCAGTGAGTGAGAGGTAAATAAATCGTGTTTATCACGGACTGAGAGCTTTTTTTCTACTATTCGACGTTAAAAGAAAACTGAGAACCCTAATAAAACTAAACTAAAATTACACAGATTAACTCGACCTAAAAACGCTGTCCCGCAGAAAATTCAAAATCCCCTTTTTTTATTAACGAAGTGCTGTTTTGTAGCGAGAACCCAAACCTTTTAACATGTAACAATAGCAAAAAATTCCATTTCCTCCTGAGTCAGATTTTGAACGGTGAAGTTAACGGCATTAAAAAAGGTTTGGCAAAAACTAAAGAGGAAAAAAACAAGGGTCAGAAAGATTCTACATCTTTTCACGAAGGCGTTGCATTAACATAACAAAAAGATAAGAAATTAATTCTCCTCACTTTCAAATCAAGTTTTTCAGTGTTTAATTTTCCTTGCTGAGTTTGTTTGTTTTTTACTTTTTTACATTGCCCGCTACGACCTTCCGGTACCTAATGTTTTCCATAATATCATATTTTTGTTATCTAAGTACAATAACTCAAGGTTTTTTAATTATTTTGTTTTCCAAAGCTTTTTTTAATGCACGAGGCCTGCCAAAGTGAAACACGAAACTGTTCCAACTGGAAAAAAAAGCATAAACCAAAACATAGTAATGACATCGTTTCATTTGATATGATATTTAATATAAAGCGTTTACGAGTATCCTTTACACAAAGTTACGGAGAAGAAAGGGCTCAATTCTAACTTTACATTCTACGTTTTAGCTCAAGAAATTTTGGTTTTGGAACAGATCCCAGGCAGAGTTTTGATTTTAGATTTATTAATAAATGCTCTGCTGCCTTTCACTCATTAACAAGATGCATAGAATGTTTGAAATTGTGTTTTGGTTTAATTAACTTTCTTTTATTTCAAACACATTACAGTTAAAGCTTACCTTACACAAAAACTTTTCATTATGAAAATTTAATTTACATCAGCAACGAAACGGGTGACATCGAGAAAGTTATTTAAAGTAAAAATGTTATTCTCTTTCCATATTTTCCTCAGCTACCGTCTCAGAGGGGTTATAAAAAAAAACTTACGCCAAATTTTTTAAGACTCTCATCTCAGTTTTGTGTAATCCTCTCGTTACTGAACCATTTCAGTTTTCTTCGGCCCCATATTTTCGCATATTAAGATTTGTTTACCTCGCTAAAGTCTTACATGGGAGGCCTTCATGGAAAAAAAATTTAATGCGCACAAATATGATGGACGATTCTCCTAACTTTTTGTGATATCTTTGTCAACCTTACCTGAATTAAATGTGTAGCAAAGGCCCATGGAAGTCAAAACAGGTGTAAAATTGTTATAACTGCAATGCCCTCCATCCCAATAGCACTGATATAAGGTGTTATTTATTTGATGTCCCATGGCAAAATTGAATTCAGTCAGGTTCATACTTTGCTACATTTCCCAGTCAATGGTTTCGTTAGAGACGTCAATCCCACTCGCTCTCCTTAGCACGTAATTTAGAATCTAATTAGGAAACATGTTGAAAAATTATCGTGAGTGTGAGGAAGTAATATACGCTTTCGATTTCTCCATTGGTGGCTTTATCACCGACAGATAATGTGGAGGCGATCTTCAAGATTTTGGGGGCTTTTGCATGCCTGCACCCGGAGTTCTGCAAGGATAAGCGTTGTCAAAAAGCCCCTTGCGAGAATGAAGTGCGCGACAGTAAATATATCTTATTAGACGTTTTGTTGTGTAGTATCGCTGAGTATTTTTACGAGTTGTGTCGTATTTTGACGAGCCCGTAGGGCGAGTCAAAATACAAATAACGAGTAAAAATACTCAGCGATACTACACAACAAAACGTCTTATAAGTTATTTATTATCCAACACGCCAAACTGTTGTTTCAGCGGGCGAATTTCGCAGATATTTATTTACGGGGAGTGCGTGACAGAAGTTTGCGAAGCGGAACGGAATTGGCGCGTTGTTGTGTTGCTGTTTCTATTTTCTTCATTAAATGAAGAAATTTTCTGGTCGTCAAGCTTTTTTTCTTCGTTCAATTCATCAAATGAACTTAGATCTATATTTGCCAGCAATTCTGACTCTTCGTCGTCGGAAATATGATTCGAATTGTCCGCCACTTTTTTTTTTTTCGTAACTACAACCAATTCTTCGCTTGCGCGATGCGAGAAAACCTGTTTAACCGGTACTACAATAGACCAGTACAAATACCCCGTGATATTTGTACTCGTCTATGGTGTTATTCGTACTCGTCTAGGTGTGGTTGGATAATAAGATATGCTAGTAGATGTTCAACTTAGCCTTCGACTGAAAAGAGGCTCAACATTATGACCTAGCTATTCCACACTCCCAGGTTCGATAGCACTGCGAGAGCAGGTCCCCAGCATGAACATAACACAGTACAACCGATCGTAAAATCAAAAAAATTGCACATTTGTCAAGTCGTATAGCAAACCTCAATACCTCCTCAAAGCCTGCCTCTTTGACCGCAGTTCTTCGAAACATGTTAAAGTTGCAGATGCTGACCGCTGGAAATTCGGGGTTTTCTTCGTAAACTAAGGTTACTTTTGTCGTCACGGGATAGCTGAAGTACTTTGTTAATAATTTTTGTGTCTGCAGCGAGAACCATCCAATACCGAGGAGAAGAAACAAGGCCCATATAACTCTACGAGCCAGACTTCGACTGCCAAACACGTGTTGCAAACCATGCAGAGTTGAAGATTCAACAAAGCCGTTCCACTTTTCTTGCGCTGAAGCCGACTGTTTTTCTTTCGGGAACGGAGTTGCGGCTACCTCCGGACTGATTTTGATTGATCTTGGAAGTGCTGAAGATGGTCTTTGTTTGATATCAATCTCAGAAATCTCGAAGTCTCCCATGCTTTGAATTTACGACTGCTCGCTGTCGCACAAAACCCAACGATTTGGATTCAAGTACAAACCGAAGTTATTTTATCTTGATAGAAAATATCTACCAGTACTTTAGGATAAACACCTATAAAACACACGAACACCTGCGCAGTATTTATGCGAAGGATGCAATCTTAACGTCTTTCTCTTATTGTTTCATAAACCAGCACATTTGCGTATAAATTGCTTCATAGATATGTCATTAGTCTCTTTAGTACAACAGAGAACTTATTTCAACGAAAATGAGCTATTGAATGACTCGCTTAGACCGTGATTGTAGCTCTAAAATCAGAGCAAAAGCTAAAATCATCTGTGAAGATCACATCAGCCTCTCGCTGTCTTTAATTTAATCTACTATATCAAATAAAGTACGATGATGATGATGAAGAAAAAAGATCGTTTACATTTATGAAATCGGCGACTTGATGTTTAAAATCAATAACCATCTTCACAATATTGAAGTAACTAATTCTTAGGTACTAGTTATGTTGTCGGAGAATTAATTTTGTTTGCAAAATTCAAGTAGAAAACTTTTCTCGAAATAGTTTCTTCGGGAAAAAAAGGGTGAGAAAATGGAGCCAGATGCCGGCGCCGAGGTCCGGGACCGAGAAACGGCTCTGAGCGAAGTTTTAAAGCGATTAGCAGATGACAAAGGGAAAATTTAATAATTACGTAGTGATGCAATAATAGAAGTTGCGCTGACTGAATACTACCGGTCAAATTTCGGGCATGCGCAATTTTGACCGGCTGTGCGCTGATTTCTCACGCAAATTTCAAATTGCAACGGTTTAGCGCAAAGGATACGAGAGAGAAAATAGAAAAGTTCATAAAAATATTTAAAACGAGACGAACTTCCGGTTTATTTTATCTAGTATGAGCATTTTGTGTAGTGGTTTATAACTCCAGGCAGACAAATAGTTTTTTTAAACTTAAATTAATGAAATTATCTACCGCGCGAGTCGAAATGTAAAGAGTGGACGTTGAATGAACTCTGTAAATGTCCTAACGTTTGCCAGTATTTGCGGTTTGAAAGCGCGATTCGGCTCAAGAAGAATTTCGTTGCAATGCGAAATCTTAGAAAGTGTCCTGTCTAAATTTGACTTTTCAAACCTCCAGAAAGGTTTGTGCATGGCAAAGATCAAACGCTAACATAACTGTAGACTATTACTATCATCCGGCACACCGACAGCACCCTACACCGTACCGAAAGCTTTAACTTTCTAATCTGTTTTTATCAAAACAAATACCTACTGGAGTCTTATGATTAAAAGGGGTTGTTTGTTTGTTTTTCGATTTTGCACATCATGCGGCTTAATTTAATAGTATGGCGCTCATATTTTCCTCAGATTTTAATTAATTCATTTTCTTATATCGATCAGATGCCCAAATGAAGAAACTGATAGAAATGAAGCGAGGTAATTATGCTGTTTTCGTCACTGATTGCTCAATGATATTTTTAGGCTCCACTGACGCAACAGACAAATTTTCTCGAACGCTGATACGCCGGTGCCTGCAACTGAGTTTAAGATGAGTTGTATGCAACATCAACAAAAGTCTTCTTCATATAGGTATTAAAAAAAATATTTATTGATTCATAGCGCTTAGAAATAACAAACTTCCTCTTTACTGAAACGATTTATACGGTAGATATAATTGTGTCCTTCTTCTTCTTCAGAACACAATTGATAACAAAAATGTGAATTCTCTATATGTATACACTGAATAAGATAAAAAAGCTCGATAGGTTTCTATCATACAAGGTAAAATTCATATTTAGGCACTTTAAGAACAGCTTTTTTAAAATATAATACATCCATCACTAACACTATTTCCAATAAAGGGCTTCAAAATCTTCTCACGTGTGTAACACGCTTTTTTAAAAAATTATAATATAATACATTTTCCTTGATCTCATCTAGGTCCATATTTCGTTATCAAATGGGTGAATACGTCCCCCAGTACTTCCTTGTTCTTATACAGCAAAATCAATTTCTTCTCTTTGCTCAGTTGCAGGGAACAAAGATAATCAGATGCCGCATTCATCTGTCGTATCAGTATCGCCCTTGTCTCGGTGTTTCCGCTTAATCCATCGTCAAAAAGCCAGCAGCACGGAGCGTTGGTTTCGTCAGTACTCCTATGAGAATAAAAACGAGTAAAAATATCGATCAGTTAAGGTAGTTATTATAATAGAGTTTTGCTGAACTCTGGTTTTGAATGCTTAGCGACTAGCTATAGGCCGGATCACAATTTCCCGGAAATCGCTAGAGCTGATCTTAACGCGCTTTCCCATACTATGAAAAGTTTCAGCACACTTTTTTAATCGTTTTTATACTTTACTGGGAAGTGTTGTGTTTACAACTGCGACTTATTAATTATACTATTCATTCCAAGATAAGTAGGTGTAGTGTACTTATTTTCTCACCCAGGCTCACTCTCTCAGTAAAAACAAAAATAATCACAAATTAACTAGATATAGAGTAAGGTTATGACATATACAGAACATTTCTTACTTGTGTGGAAATGCCTTAACTGCATCTTCTCTTTTCGTCCCCAGATCTCTTGTGCAAATGAAGCAGAAGAATCGTTGACATGTTCTACACTGTACAGCGTTACAATCCTCCTTCGCCTTCTCTATCAGACCTCCCGCTAGGTCAATGGCCCTGCAAGAGTTGCTGGGACATCGCACCCACTTAGCCTCGCAAACTACTTTGCACAAAGTTATGCTGGCTTCGACGTCATCAATAATGTCAGTGATCTGACGGTCGGGTGGACAAATGTGGTCGGCGTATCCTTCATCACCGAGACGTCTTTGACAGGTACGGCAGTAAAATGAAACACATTTTGGGCACCACAAATACAGCTCGTCAAAATCGTCGTCATCGTGTTGAGAAATAAAGGAGCATACCTCGTTTGGACAGGAACTGGAAATCGTCTGTCTACTGTGGGAAAGACTTTTTGTGGTTTTTTCCTGTGACATCGCGGTGATTTGGTCAATGATATCCTGCAATAGGTAAGGTTCAAGTTGTGATCCACAAACAGAGCTTAAAGGACAGCTAAGGCGTATGGCCAACCCAGTTGGCGGTTCTCTTGCTGGTGTGCTTGACTCAATGAATGTTGTCACGCAAGACTGACAAAAGCTATGTTCTTTCTCCTCACAGGAGATTATCTACGATATCGAGAAGAAGAAGGAATCAGTTACAAAACTTCGATGTGTTATTATAGTCTAAAATATAAACGTTTTTGTAAGCTTTTCAAGTTGGATGAGGAAGGTTGATTTCTAAAATATTTCGAAAACAAAGGTTGGTTTGTCTGTCTCAATTATTGTATAAACGATGATCACTTCAAAGGAAATTTACAAGCATTTTTAAAAAATAAGTTCAAAGTTTTTCGAGTAATGCGTTCCAAGGACGATCAAAATAGCCTTGTTAATTAATAAGGTGACATGATAAACAAAAAATGACAGATTCACGCGTGCAGTTTCTTTCCTCGTGAATCACGATATCAGAGTAGAAAACAAAATAGCTTCAAATAGACAATGAATTGGCTCTGTTAAAATTTTGTGTTCATGGCGGATTAAACCGCCGGGTAAGCGCTAAAAGACCCCCATAAATTCCATTTGTATCATGAACGTATTGGTTTATTCTTGCCAGAGATGTTCTGCTCATAGAGGTCCTTTTTTCTTCAAGTTTATCGTCATAAGCGCGAGCGAAATCATAGCTACATGCGGGGGGTTTTGTCAAACGTTCTCCCAGTTGTTCGCCTTTCGTTTAGCCCCTCACTTGACTATAGAAAAGCAAAACGGCTTTGAAAATACCAGGCTAAGGGAAACTATGCAAAATTGTGAAAAGATCGAAAATATTAGCGTCATCGAGTGAAAAAGATCCTGTAGATGATTGCGCGGGAGGGCAAACACATTTAGTCAACACTTAATCCTTATCCTGTGAATTTAACCAAGAGTCTACGTATCAGTTTTAGTACGATGATTCGTTACTTTGACATCCAATTCATCACAAAATTCAAGTTGTAGCTTGAAAAAAGTTTACCCAATACTGGTTGTATCGATTGTAACTGGAGAAAATGCCATAGTCTTTCTTACCAGTAAATCTTGCCTCTGACAAGTTGCACATTCCTTTGAAGTTGATCCACAAAGCCGATCGGCCATAACTACACAAAACGGAGTAAAAGGAGATCTTATGAGGTCGTACTTATTTCTACAGAAACGGTTTTGTAGTTAGTTCGTGTTTAGTTTGAAACTGTTCTGTCTTTGGCCATAAATACCCTGCTTATATTTCATTTTCTCATGATATAAAAATAGCGACCACGCGTCGAAGTTGCTGACGTTAAAACTACATATTTATAATTTAGGGGTAAAACAAAACTTTATTTACGTCGACGATCAGAAAATTAACGTAGTTTTCCGGAAAGGTGATCACAAACGCTCTCTAACATGACACCATGATTAAATTAATGACGTTGCTTGATGTTGAGAAAAAAACGCACCAAACTTGGTAACCTATCGGCAATTGTCTGAGGCCGAAAAAAATCGTTTACATGGCCTGAGAGACCATCTGGATGGATTTCAGAAATTCGTTCATGCTTGATGCGGTCAAGTTACAGATTGATACAACGCTGAGTCGGCCACCCCATTTTAAGTTGATACGGAAGTTTCCGCATGTTTTGAAAAGGTCAAGGCAAAGTTCGCTTTGTTATCATTAATCAAAAGTACTACTGAACTAAAGCGTAAAGACTCCAACGAAAAAATATTTTGCCAAAACTGTGCCTGGCGACAAACAACAATGATTTTCGGGAATTTACGAAGATACTCCATAGAAATTAAATTGGGATCAAAATTAAATACATTAACCAAACTTTGCACAGTCAGGTGTTCTCAGAGATGCACGCGCACAGAATGGCTGTCAACACTTACAACAACCATCCGAGCGAGGTGACCGTAACACGAAAGCTCTATTTGTTTCCGACAGAGAAACAATTTCAATCGAAGAAAGTGCACTTGCTCTAATGATTAAACGAGTAACTACGTAAAAACAATCCAGTTCTCTCCGAGGCGAAATTCAAATATTTCGATAAACTTATTCTTTTCTCACACTATTTATTACTCAGCCTTCAAAGAACAATTGTCAAATACTGAATGTTTGTGTGTACTTTGAAGATCCAGATGGCGGGCCAATAAAGAAGATATGGAGTTGAATTAATCAAAATGCTACTCACAGCAAGAGACGTTTTCTTGGTCATGTCAGTTCATTGACTGCTTTCTAAAATTGAAAATCTTCGTACAAGTCGATCTCAAAATTACGCCAAAACACTTGGGAATATTTTCAGTTTCGTCATGTGGATGTTTATTTGTAAATAATTGACCAAAAATGGAAGAAATCTCTTCAATGGATTGTATGCCACGAATCAGCAAAAACAAAGAAAAACATTGGAAACGAAAACAGAATTTCGCCCACAACTGTTCGATGTTTTAAGATTTTTTCTCTGAATGCTATCAGCTATATTGCAACAACTGAGGAGAGGTACTAACGACAAATAAGACATAAAAAGTAACAATAAAAAATAATAAACAGTCTAACGTGCTTCATTTTGCCTGAGCTCTTTCTTATTGGTATTTTATCATTGAGTTAAACTCAGAATAGAATCCGCCAATGACGACAACCGTAAAAGTTTAACAATGAACTTGGAGGGGAAGTTTTTGAGGATTCAGTTCAACATAATTTTGGCTCCGCACGAAATTTTATTTCTTTAACAATCATGATTAGAAACTGAAAAGTGGCAGGGATGGCAGCAATGTGATGTTTATCAGCAGTTCCTTCCACAGAAAATACAGTTTCTGTCTGTTGGCCCTTGAATCCCTCTTCCAAGTAAATATATAAGGACATCCAAATCTACCAAAGAAATATAACATATTCTACAAAATCATTGTAAGTCAGTGAAAAGGACATTTGTACTTCTAGGTGGCGATATATCAAAGCACTTTGATGATAAATAAGGTTCTACATTTTTTACATCCACCAGCATATTAAGTAGTTTTGTACCCCTTCACTCTTTTGCTTATTTGTATTCCTCAATATTTTGTGTTCTTTTAAAGACAATTAATTGCCATGATTATGGTTTCTTAAAATCATTTTGGTGGCGGAATAACTAAGTTTTGTGTTCAGAGACTGCGAGGCTAGGGAAGATATACAACTCCTGAAAAACCTTGTATCAAATTTTGGACGTAGGAATAGCAATTCTTGGCAAAAATCGAAAGGCAATTTCAATATTAATGGCCAAACGTGCACGATTTTCAGAGTGGACAATAGTAGTTCGAAAGAGAATATGATATTTTTTAATATATTTTTCCGAAATCTTACTGTTTGTTCATAACGTACAGTCAGCTTTAGTATATGCGTAAGTATATATGTGAGCAACTGCACCCAAATTTTTAAATTACCTTCACATTTTCAAAATATCACAAAAAACACGCTGCCAGAAGACAATTAGTAGAGTCCTGAAGTAGCTTAACAGAACTTTACGCAATGATGTTTTAAGAGTCTATTTTAAGGTCATCGTTTGATCAAAACAGAGTTATTAATGTAAAAGTAACATTTATGGACCAAATATTTTTAGACAACTTATAGAATGAAAACAAATCTATATTTGAACCTGAATTCATTTCCGGCTGGGTTGTTTAGCCTATCTTCGGAATCACTCTTCACAGGTTACGTGTACCTCTGTCAAGATTATTGAGAATACATTTTTATCTTTTCAACAAATAATCCGCAAATATTTCTTATTTATCAAAAATATTTTCATGAGCCGTCGCGTTTTGATGAATAAATTATAGTGTGACGTTTTTAAGATCTTGCTCCTGCTACTGTAAGCGTGCGGTAACGTCGGATGACGCTATAGTGGATAACCCCGCATCACGCCTGTAAACCGTGATGTGTTGTGTCAAGGAGCAAGTTGAAAAGAAATTGTGGCGTCGCGTCGGTGGGGGGTATTGGGAATTAATGTAGAGTATAAATTGAATTGATAATATGATTGGCTTCCGGAGAGAGTTCGTAACGCTGAAGTTACGAGCGACAGTTCTTCGTCAGGGCGAAATGTGCAGTATCACGCTTTATTTGAGCGAGAGTTGATGCTCGCAACATTAGCTTTTCCAATTCCAGAACGGAATTTATCTACCTTTATCAACTTTCAGGCAATATCAACAATCAATAAAGGCTGAGAGTTTCTAAAGAAACTGTTTGGGGCTGCGTCGGTGGGGGTAACGAAGTAATTTGGATATATCAACAAAGTTGAAATGGTAAATTGGCCACCGTAACGATTACAAAAGCTGACGTTTCGAGCGTTTGCCCTTCGTCGGAGCGAGTATCAACAATCAACTGAGTGTTGGTAGCACAACAGTTTCTTTGGGAAACTATTTCATATTCCGTTCATCTCCAGCGTCTCAAAAACAAATCACGCCAGCATTTCAGTTGCCGACAGCTTCAGCTGAAAGAAGAAAGATCATTTGGCATGGGAAATAATAATTTTCCCGAAAGAACCTCTCTTGAAACTCTACACTGACTGGATTTTCTTAGATCGACCTCAGACAATGAGTAACGTTTAGACGCGGTTTGAATCCTCGTAATCAGATCAAAAATCTTTTTCGAACCGTGACTGAAATTTTCACGCAAGCTATGTTTCTTAGAAATATGCCGTTGTTAGTGTAGAGCTGGCCTTTATTATTATCAGATAATTTGTTTTTATCAGCTCCTCAGATTAGAGGAACAAATTATCTTTTAATACCCCCATAGAGGCAGCCTCGCGGTTGTAGCATAGTTATCTAAGTGTCGGTCGAAGGTGTTATGCACATACTTGAATGTCATGTACTCTAAATAGTTGTAGTTTGGTATGCTAATTTAGACGGTATTTGAGACTTGTGCGTAAGTTTGAATTGGAATGTATTTTGTGTGTTTTTAGCGAACAGTAAGTTTTAAATTAGTTGGATACTACAGCGGTTTCTTCAAAAACTTACCCCTTTTATTCATTTACTACTCTTATCCGGGTGCCGAAGCACTCTAACATTTGCCAAATAATAATAGTTTGAAATAGAAATCATGAGGTCACGAATATTTTAAAACAATTGAATATTTTCAAAAAATTAAAACGAGAAGCGAAAGGTACACGGGCTCTTGACCTAAGATTGGCCGAGCAGGGATTGAGTGGGAAACATCATACAACTTCAGAGCGGCTACTAAGCTATAGTAGTATAATCCAAGATGGCGTCGTCGATGGAAGTTCAGCCAACTACTTCGAAAGAATCAGAGACTGTTTTGGCGAGTTCTGGTTCGAGTGGAAGCGTATCAGTGGCTCTTCATCCCTTAGTAATTATGAATATATCTGAACACTACACCAGAATAAAAGCACAGTATGGAGAGCCCAACCCACAAGGTGATTTGTTTGCTGCTTACAATTTTGCCGTAAACCGTCTTGGTTTGTCACAGTCTTTCGTTTTTGACAGCACTCATGTTGTCTTTCGTTTAATGTTAGCCTGTTGTGATGTATAAGTAGCCATTGCAATTTAAATTTTGAAACATTCGAAGCCAGTATTCAGTCGTTTCTAACGATTATCACCTCATATTTTCTAGTAATTGGAGCACTACTAGGAACCCAGGATGGCCGTAAGATTGAAATTTTCAACTCCTTTGAACTTCAGTTCGATGTGTTTGATGACGGACAACTTGTGATAAATATAGAATACTATCGCAAAAAAGAGGAACAGTGTGAGTTGATATGAATTTGCTTTTGCAAGGTGGTAGTTGTAATCTGTCATAGTAGACATTTTTCATTTCTTAAGGTATGATGCGGCCAATGGTACTGCGTTATTTGTTGGCACGTGAACCTTACTGAAATTTGGCTGTAAGCAAAAACTAGGTTCATTGAACATAGCCACAGCAGTATACAAACAAACACAGCTGAAAAAGACAATCATTTTAAACAGACAAATACAGCCAAGAGGGTGGCAAAGGGTTTTTGCGTGATGTGTGATGGCCCCAAAATTTGCAGTGTGATGCATGATTGAACTAAAATTATCTGTGTGACAGGGGACCAGACATCACAACCTGATATGTGATTTGCTATTTTACAAGCAGGTGATGCATGATTTACACATCTTACTAATTAGATTTCTGTGATAAGTGAATGCTCTTTGACCTAAAAGGTAGTCTGAGTGTCAGCCATCCTCTCCTAACCCATAAGGGATACTGCAATCCTAAGTAAATGCTCCCTGAGGGTCAGTTTTCAACAAGTAAATCGTCTCTATTTGTCTAACAAAAAGCAATATGACGAGTGAAATGCTGTTCATTCCAGAGTAAAAAACATTGATGCAATAGAATTTTAAATAATACATCCAGTAGGTTGAAATCAAACAGTATTGGTTTAGTGTACTGACTCCTTTTTATGTGATGTATAAATTGGTTAAAAAATTCTCTGTGATGCATCATCTAATAAAAAAATTCAGCACAGTGTTTGATTGGAAACTCCCCCTTTGCTACTCTCAGCTGAAAGAGACACTCATATTGATGGATGTTCTGGGCAGCTTAACCACCAATTTTTGCTGCCTAGGGAAATAAACAATCATTCCACACTAGAGAAAAGCAACATTTACATTGTGTAGTATACACATTTATCTTTGTGCTGCCCTGTACAGAAACACAGTCAAACCATTCTATATCTTGTTCATGTTACCTGACTGGCAATATATTTTTAGTTCACCAGGTGTTTAAGAATTTGGATTTCCTTGGATGGTACACCACAGGATCAAGTCCCACTGAGAATGATATCAGGGTACACAAACAGGTACCTTACATGACCATTATAATTTTATATTTCATCAACATCGGGCACTGTACAGTTGTGTGTTTGAGAATACTGTCTCAGATCTATTTCAGAAGACCATTGCTGGCTTTAATCATAATTCTATTTATACAACAATTACTTTCTCCCGACTAAGGTTGGGAGAACTTGCCAACCATGTGATTGTATTACACTGTATACTGCAGTGTCCTCAGAATTCACTGGTTTAAAATGAAGTGAACAAGGACAGAAAAGACAGAAAATGACACACAAATTTTTTTGACATTATTCAAGCTCAATAACTAGTTTTACCCAATGTAATTATCATACCATTGTATCCAATCTGATTAAAAACAAGAAACTGGCTTTCTGTGTTACTTTTATACTGCCTTGTGAACTGAGGTTGAGAATGCCTAAATACTCTATTTGATAGAAAGAGTACAGTTTACCCATATGGAAAAATTATTATATTTTTGTAGTGGAATAATAAATCTTCTATTCCCTGGTGTTGATGAAATTGATCATACATGAAGACTTTATGACTTTATGGGCATTGCCTTAACCCTTTCGCTGACAGGTTCCTGGGGACTCAATATTTTTCTATGATGTAAGCCGACAAATCAGGCCACAGCTCATCAAATTTTAAGTTCAACCCCAACAAACTATATCTCATTTTAATCAGTAAAAATTTTACAAACATTTAAGATTATTTGTTACATATGGGTCCTTCTGCACATAATTTGGGGCAAGAAAAGCCAAGCATAACAAAATTTTTGAGGAGTATGTTGTTTTTCCTGCTCTACTAAGACAAGGCATCAACGTACTTGTGAGCATAACTTTTGTATTATGTAAAAGTGTATTATTTCAGGAACCAAACACTTTTTATTCCATCCAATTATCTTGATTGCAACCAAAGTTATGCCTTTTACTGTTCATCAAGGTGCGGCTTAGCAATTTTCAAAAATTAAAGGATATGTGATATTGCTGAATTATACTTGAGTAATTATACTTGAGTAACAACTAGCTAGCTTCACTTGAAATCACCAAAATAGTAACCATGAAGGACACAACCATAAATGGACAATAAGGTAAAAATGGTTCTGTTCTGACTTATGAAAAAATTACAATCCATAGCAACCGTCAAGAATGTAGGCACAGGAAAAAATGCAGTATGAAATACTTGACATACATTCAAAGATACAGTTCACAAGTCTAAATAGTCACGGTCCTTTTCCCTCAAAAGAAAACTTCATTAGGATCATCCTCTAACACATTTCACTGTGCTTCCTCGACTGGAATCTGTGCTGATGCCATTTTTAAAAGGATATTATTGCATGAGCAAATTTTTTGCGCGAAAAAACCGGTCAAATTTGCTATAAACAGCGAGAAAAACGGCTACGAATGAAGGAACATGACTTGACAAACCATAATAATCTTTAAGAACTCAAAACAATACTATCTGGGGGTCCCCTGAGGTTTCTAGTATAGAATTCGTACGTTTGCCAGCGAAAGGGTTGATTAAGCCATTGAAAAAGACGTGTTTACATGTTGTCATTCACGTGTGTGTTCAAGAATATATATCAAGAATTAATACCCTAACACACTGAAAATAAAACTTGAAATAATGAAAATGTCATTGTTTCTCATCAGATATGCGAGATAAATGAAAGTCCGCTATTCCTGAAACTCAATCCACTTGCCAAGACCAATGATGTAGGTTTGCATTGATGAATATATTTAGATTTTTTGCAAGTTACTGTGGACCTTGATTTGCCCTGGGATTAAAGGGGAAAATATTTTTTATGATGTTCATGCTATACTATAGACACCTCATGTCTGTCTCTTATTTATCTCTTTTTTGTTTCAGTTACCAATCAGCTTGTTTGAATCTGTGATTGATATTGTGGAAGGAGCCGTAAGAATTCATTCCATTTTGCTTATGAAATATATATATCTTATTAACCAAGCATGAGGGCCGTACTGGGAGAATATCGGCCCGAGGTCTTGACAGTACGGACCGAGCGCAGCTCGGTCTGTACAAAAAAGACCGAGGGCGGATATTCTTCCAGTACGGTTCCGAGCAAGCTTGGTTAATAAGAGATCTATTATATGACTGAAGTTCAAAGGGACACAAGTGCAGTATCTTTAGGGACCATTTGGGACAGTACCCGGTCCAATACTGAGAGAATATTGACCGGCAATAAAGCATTTTGATTGGTTGATTTTAGTTATTGGCTCTCTGACTGCCCAAGTCGTGTAATAATGCTGAATACTTAACATGTTCACATTTATTTTGAACCTTATATATACACCTTATCATCAGTTTGCATATTCTTCGTACTGTTTGCTATACACTTGGTGATGACACAGAGCAATAACTTTTAACAATCAAGAGCTTCTTCAGTTGGTGACCATTTCCTTTATTCTCCTGACCTTAATGTGTGATTCAGGGATGATATTGTAAGGAGAAATTAGATGCTGATCACTTTGAGGAGTCACGGGGTTAGGATACCAAGAGATTTTGCTGATAAATAAGAATTATTGAAAAAAAAATATCCAATGTACCATTATTTAACATTGCTCACTTTCAGACACGTATGTTGTTTGTGGAAACTCCCTACACCTTAGCTACAGAAGAAGCTGAGAGAATTGGAGTGGATCATGTGGCCAGACTATCAAATACTGGTACAGTTGACAGCTCAACAGGTATGCAAACAGAGAAAAAATCAATGATAATTAAGTAATAGTGCTTTTCTCATAATGTCATCGCTTCCAGTGCACATTGTTGGTCATGTTCAGGTGCTGAGGTCAACTTTGTTGTAAGGTGCCACCCAAAGAAACAGCATTCTTCACTGTGATTAGTTAGTTTGAATTAATTAAGTCCAGGGAGGTCCATGTGTCATACCTGACAGCCCAATATTTTGATCTGCAGTTATCATAAGTAATGACTGTCATTCTTTATTTTTTTCTTCCTTTTCAAATTCTTCCTTTAGCTCCAATTTTTTTTCTCTTATCAAAGTGCCTGCAATGCTAAATGGGTCATAAGATAAGTCATAATATTTATTTCATGTCTGGGTGTTGGTGTGACTGCAGGCATGAGCAACATCACAACCACAACCACGTGACTGTAACTGGGTCAGAAAGGACATTTAGTAAGGCTGTGAACCATGTTGCGGTAAATGTTCTTCCCAGTGCAGCAGTGATTACTTGTGGCAGTGATATGTGAGGAGGTGTGTGTCATTTGTTATCCTCAAGATGCCCCTGACATTACTTAATTGCCTTATCTACAGGCAAATGAAGAGAGAATTTGAAGATGAAAGATCACGGAGGGTCGTGGGTTCAAGTCCCATCTGGGACTCGAATTATTTTTGAAGAGAGAATTGTTTGGCATTTAATGTTTCCAATGGCTGATCCGATGGCTATTTTGTTTGTTTTCTAGTGTCAGAACATCTTCTAGCTCAGTACAATGCAATCAAGATGTTACACTCCAGGGTCAAGATGATTTTAGAGTATGCTAAAGCAGTGAAAAATGGTAACATACATAGTCTACTGCTTTTTGCTTTCAGGAAAAAGTCAACCATTCAAAATTTGTCAATGGCAATTGTAAAATCTTTCCTCAACCTTTTTCTCTATATCTGTTCAGGTGAAACACCATGTAATCATGATATAATGCGTGATGCTTTGAGTCTGATCCAAAGACTTCCTGTCATGAAGACTGGTTTGTTCAGAGAAGATTTTTATAATGTATGTTGATTTTCATTCTATGAAGTATTTTGATTTAGTGTTTAATTAATGATGATTTCTTCCACAACACTTCAACTGGGTGTTTAACTCTCTTTTTCAGCAATGTAACGATATTATGTTGATGTGTTATCTGTCTACAATAACAAAAGGAGCCAACAGTCTTAATGAGGTAGGCTGAATATTCCTATTATGACACAAACTTCTCAATCTGGCAGTTTTGAGGGAGTGTATGGAAAGTGTAGGGGTCAGAGGTGCAAAACCAACAATTTGAGCTTTTTGCTGAGAAACTAATGCCAAGAATCCACTGTCTTCTTTTTACTGTGCTTTCAAACACCATTTATTGCCAAATTGTCCCAACCAATATCAAAACACCTTGCAATAAAAATAAGGCATCACCTGGTAAGGAATAAGAACATTTCTAAGTGAGCTTTAGCTGTGGGTACATAAGGCTGCACTCTAAGAAAAATCATCTCCTTTATTCTGAAGATCTTGATGAATGATTTGTGAAGCAGTAATTACTGTAATGAAAAATGAGATGCTGGTTATTCTTAGGATTAAGAGTTAACCTAAATTTTTTGGGCATTTCTGAGAATTTTTTTTTTTGTTTACAAGAACTATAAATATTATCAATGTTTACTATTAACACTTTCGGAGTGAAGAACTACCAAATAAACTAAGTTTTGTTCTTCTTTTTCAGTTCATTAACAAGTTCAATGTGGTTTATGACCGTGGAATGGGAAGACGAATGAGAGGAACACTATTTTAGGGTCTGAAATACGAGAATTTGAAACGCAGTATTGTTCACGAAGAAAGTGTTCTTGGAAACTGAAATAAAACGTTTGTGGTTTGCAATGTGATAAAAAAAGGACAAAACAATAAAAACAGAGGTTAGCTGTATAAAAAAGTTATGGCAACACATGCATTAGGCTAGCCCCAGTGCAAGATTCTTTAAGACTTTCAAATATGCAATTTTTGCGTACATGTATGATCAGTAATTTGTTAATTTCTCCACAAGTTACAAATTGCAACAAGTCTGTCGATATGCATCAATAACTTGTCTTGTAAATATGGTTAATTAATTTGTGAAAATAAATGATTTTAATCTACTGCTCTACAAGTTTGTTTTTTAACATTTCATTTGTTCAATACAATGATCTCAGTGACATTTATTTCCAAATGGAAAATTTTCAGCCATAAAAAATGCAAGCAATGCACTTTTGGTGGAAGTCAGCCAATTTGTACCTATATACTCCTACTTTAAAAGTTTTAAGTAACAAATTGAAGAAAGAGCCCATTCCCTATTGCCACCATCACGAAGTACTTGTACAAATTAAAATGAAACATCTTGAAAGGAGAGCTATAGTGTGATTGCCATGCGCAATGGTTAGAGAGCTTAAGAAGAGACGTGTTTGAGGCAACCGGAAGAAACCGGAAGATTAATAATTATGAAAAGCTATTTGCCCCAGTACTTCCTCGGTTGCACCAGACTGAGGTTTCAGCATATCCATCATGGCGCCCGAACTTGGGTTTTTGTTATCTCTATGTTACTCACCTGAACGTGCTTAAATATCTCAAACGATCAAAGCCATGAAGAGATCAAGCCCCGACTATTCCACCACTGTCGTGGAAGAAAAGCCGGTAGAGACTCTAGATTATGGCACTCAAAATCAGCCAGTTTTGAAATTGAAGAGGAGTCGACAAGCTCTCGATGCTTCCAAGAGGCTTGCATTTGAACTGTCACAGTTCTCTACTCAACAAGAAATCCTTCAAACTCTTGTAGATCTCGAAAAAGAGCTTCCTTTAGAGTCGCTAGAAGTTGTGGAATTCGCCATTAGATCTTTGTGGGAGAGGTTTTACCATACTGAAGACGCTGCTGTTAGGGTGAAAGTTATTTCTTTGCTTGGAAGTGTGACTAGATTTCCCGGAGTCAATGTCCAGGCGATCGCTGAAGAGTTAATCAAACTACTAAACGTAAAGGATGAAGACAGGACTAAAGGTAAAAGTTTTGGTTGTAGCAAAGTGTTACTTGATAGAAGTGATGGACAAGATGTTTACTGGTAGAAGTGTACAGTCATTTACCATGGCTGGAAGAACAGGAATTTAACAGGGGAATGGGGCTTGGGTTGGGCAATGGACCAGTGCTAGAGGTAAGACGTGCAGCTTTCCATTTCCCTGGGTCTGCTATATTTGAGTTGTTTACTTGAAAGAGTTGACTATCAACAGACTAGTCTGCAGAGTATGACAGAATTTGAAGTGGTCTAGTGCATGGTGAGGCAATTCTGCCATGTAAAATGCATGGTGTGTAAGGAAAAATTTAGCCATATCCTGCAGACAGGTCAATGTGGCCTCATCTGTATACAATTGTCTTTAATTAAAGCTCGCCATGTCTCCTAGCAACTTATTGCTAGAGTATTCAATAGATGTATGAAAAGTAATGGGCTCAACTGCCTTTGAATACTTTGTTATTTGCATCTCCCAAGCTCACAAAGCTCACAAAAGAAGATGAACTTTATCATGAACACTGGAGCTTCAAGAATGGTAACATTGTGCAAAATAGCAAAAAACACAACATCATCACTTGAAAGTTGCCAAAAAACTGTAAAATAACTCATACCCTTTACACAGCTATACTGCATTCTTACATGTAAATTTTGGATGTTTACGTCACGAGATATAAGGTGACTGTAATACCTCAATATCTTATTTTATTGGCCAAAAAATGACAAAGCGAACTGATCAACACCAAAAACCCTGATAACTCCTGGACACTGGAAAAATATGTGGTATAACCTCAAGAAACAACCCCAATACTGATAAATGAAAGTAGTTTCTGTTTTTTCTATTTTCCTGGCAGATTCTCACAAAGTATGCTCTCAAATATTCGATACTCTCTTAAGACTTGGAAGACTTTTTGATGAGGAGGTAGGATGTTATTATGGCAAGCCAATGAAACTAACCCCTTAAACTTCCAAGATATGATTGTTAATTCTCCCTTCAAGCTGCTACTAGTTTCCTTGTAAATTAGTTACAAGAATTTGATGTAAATATTTAGTAAGAAAGATGGAAAGTTTGAGCTTAGTAAAGAAATAGAGAAAGATGTTTTTTTGTCTTGTTGTGAGAGTGGGGCAAAGGAAAAATTCTGAGTCTCCCCACAACGGATGGAACCTAAGACCTTCAGATTTTGCACTTGCATTCTCTACCACCGAGCCACAGAGACTCTGTGGTGAGCAAGGCCCATTACGAAGTTCATATATGACATGCATCCTGCATACTGTTAGGATTGGCAATGTTGATAGATCAAGACCAACTTCTGTCTGATAAGTTTTAGAATTCTCATCACCTGTTTGCTGGATAATGTATGGATATTAAAGGGAGAAGTTACATGTTAATCACTTCTGGTCAAGTATTATTACGTCAAAATAATTTGTAATTTTTTTAGCCAAGAAATTATATAATCATCATCTTCATCAACATTACAGTAGTTTAAAAACAAATGATTTAACACACCTGCCGTTCTTCTCCGTGTAGGCAAAGATTGTCCACCACATTGAGAAGAGTGCCATTGAGGTACAACCTGTGAAAAATTTTATCACAAATATGAGACAAGAGAGCATGGAATTACACGACTGGGACATTTTTAATCTAAATTATTGCAAGACTCAAAAGGAATTAGTATATATTAAAAAGTTACCTTCCTTACCTATTCCTATTTGGCATTGGTTGTGTTATTTATCAGTGAGAGGGGATCTCTTTTGCTAGAAAACAGTTTTATAAGATAGTTCATGTTACTCATTTAAAGAAAGAAAAAGGCTAGGCAATATTTGTAGCCCATGAATGCTGCCATCTGCTTTTTATATTTATTAAGCCATAAAAAAATGTACAAATTTGTCGGACTAAGCAATGCCTAGGTTCCACTGTGCAAATGATTGGGTTCCTGTACAGATTTATTTTGAACAAGTGTTACTATACTTTGTTCAGCCTGACACATATTTGCTTTTTCTTTTTCTTCGAAGCATCTTAAGGACCCTCATTTTTCAGTACGCTGCCGATGCCTTTGTCTGATTGGTCATCTGAATCAAGGAACAGAAGGCTCCCCAAGCAAGGTGGGGTCTGAACCACAGGTTGTGGCACAGAGCTTGTTAGCAAGTTTTGCAAAAGACAGTGACCCCAGGGTACGAACAAGTGCTTTGCAAGCCTTGGTAAGTTGAAATTCATTCAAATTGTTCCATATCCATAAAAGGTTGGTGTCAATTATCACTAATTCAGTAAATTCATTAACTGTTCCTTACTGAGCAAGAAATAGATTGGGAGACAACTCAAATGCCTTATTTCATGATAGCTGGGCTCGACACTAACGGTAGCCCACTAGCCACAGACTTGTAGAAATTCAGTTTTGGCTAGTGGTTTTCAATTTCCACTAGCCAGTTTGGCTAGTAAACAGACTAAAATTGTCGTAATATCTAAAAACATCTAAGATGTCACTAGCCACTTGGCTCGTAAGTTGAAAAGTTAGTGTCGAGCCCTGTGATAGACTTACTCCCTTAAGAATGACCACAAAGAAATTTACCCTTACAATATAAAATTAAATACATTCTGAAGTACAAAGGTGATGAGAAAATATCAACCAGGAAATAACTTAACACCAAACTCTCAGAACTTAAGTTTTAAAGGAATATATGGAAAGCAGTGCAGAGAATTTATATATCGATCTTGAGAGTGTAAAGGTACAAGAATGCTGGGTGTGTGACTATATCCTTTTGTGAATGTATGGATTGATCTTCTTTATAGCTGACATTGCATGACAGAGGGCAGAAACTGGACATGGCGGTTTATGATCAGGCGTCGCTGGCTTTGAATGATGACTATGAGGATGTGCGTATGGCAGCCATCAAGTTAGTTTGGGTTTTCAGTCAGGCTGATCCTGAAAGGTTTGTCCACTTTAGATACCTTTAACCCTTAACCCTTGAATTCCCAGAAGCGATTAACAAGTGACTTCTCCCTGTAGTATCTTACATTATTAAAAACTGGATCATTGGATAATGCAATTCAAGACTTTTTATTGGCTCAGCCATTATGGTATATGAGCCAATATACCATAATCTACAAATATGGTAAGCGTACGCGTCAGCTTAAAATCAAAAGGGAGCTAAAAAAATACCGTTTCTTCTCACAAAATAATAATTTCTTGGGGGCGTTTTTAATAAAACAATTATTCAGCCAACAGGTAATGAGAATGCTCAAACTCATCAGTTAGAAGTTGCTATCTTGATCTAACACCAAAATCTCGTCACTAATTTATAAGGAAATGATTAATAGCTAGATTGGAGAATTAACAAGTAGGTCTTCAGATTTGAAGGGTGAACAACCTAACATTGGTGCTCACACGGAGAGTTTATTGAACAATCAATAGCTTCTCAAAGTGGTGATGATTTCCTTCATTTTCTTAAAATAGTTATTGTGTTGTAAATTTTGTTACTCTTCACGCTATAGGACTGTAAAGTTACCATCATCTGATGAGGTTCGCCTGGTGGACGATGCCTTTATAAAGATCTGGCACATGGTGAATGATCTGTCCATGACTGTCCGCAGAGAGGCAGCCGGTTTACTTGGCTCTCTTCATCTCGTTAGTCAAAAGTTTTTGGAGCAGACATTGGATAAAAAGCTTATGTCCCATCTTAAGGCAAGTCACAGTGCTGAATGAACGCATTTTACCTATTAAGAAAATTTTCAAATGAGCGTCGAAAAACCAAAACCATAGAAATCGCAACCACCAATCTGAACGAAGGTTAACTTTGTCACTGAACGATGAGAACTCGGAGTAAAAACAAGTAATCTACTTGAAAACGCAGAAACTTGTTATTTTTCTGATGCAATACAAAAATGCAAAGAGCGGTTTTCCTTCGGTTTTTTCTCGATGTAAGATCTTCTTAAAAAGTGGCAAATTTTCGTCTTTGAAATTCAGAGAAAGAAAACGGAACACGAGAAGCGACGTGAGATTCACGCCTCGGGGGGAGCAGATGGCGGGGGGTGGAGCACGGGGCGCACATGGGGTGACAAGGCCCCTGAACCTGAAATCGACCCGGAGGGCGTCAGTCTGATGAGCAGCGGGGCGTGCGGCGCGTTTGTGCACGGGCTGGAAGACGAATTCATGGAGGTACGTTCCGCGGCTGTGGATTCTCTTTGTGAGCTGGCCTATCGCAATTCATCTTTCGCTGTGCAGTCCTTAGACTTCCTGGCTGACATGATGAATGATGAAATAGAAAGCGTCCGGCTCAGTGCTATCAACAGCTTGCGGAAAATCAGCCAGCACATTCAGCTGCGTGAGGACCAATTGGAGACGCTCCTCGGTGTCCTGGAGGATTTCTCGGGGGATACCCGAGAGGCTGTGCGTGAGTTGTTATGTCACTGTGTGTTCGCCACAAGGGCGTGTCTTCACGCTGCCATTCACGCGTTGCTTGGAAACCTGTCAAAATATCCTCAGGATAAATCGTCCATCTGGAGGTAACTGTACATCTACAGTTAGCAGTGCTTTTCATTTGTATATTCGTATAAATCTACAGGCGTTCTTTTACAAATGCTGCAGTCTGATTTCCCACGCTACCCGCTATCTATTACTTGGTATATAACAAGCTTAATTACACACACTTTTTGATTGGTTGTGACTTATGATCCATTGGAGGACAAACGCGTAGATAACGTCACCATTAACAGTATTTTGCCTTTTCTTTTATAAAACAAGTATATTCCTTGTTGCTATGGCTCTGTACGGTAGTTGATCACAGAGGACGTCAAAATCTGTTAAGAACTTCAGTGACACACTCGGCTGCGCCTCGTCTGCGCCTCGTTTGTGCCTCGGCTGTTCCTCGGCTGTTCCTCGTCTGTGCCTCGGCTGTTCCTCGGCTGTTCCTCGTCTGTGCCTCGGCTGTACCTCGTCTGTGCTTCGGCTGTGCCTCGTGTACCACTTTTTTGTTCTTACCACATTTTGAAGTTATCTGAGATCTGTTACTGAACAGACACACGGCAACAGGGAATCTATTTGTTTAACCCTTTACACCCTAACATCAGTATGCATATTCTCTTTACTGTTATCTATACATTTTCCAGGGTGCTGACAGGAGAATTTCTTTGACAATCAAAAGCTTCTTTCGTTGGCGATCATATCCTTTATTCCCATGACCTTATTGTTTGAACCAGGGGTAATATTTTAAGGAGAAAGTGGGGGTCAAAGGGTTAGTAGATGAAGAGGAACATAAGGAAGCCTGACATAAAGTAGGCGGTTGTAACAAAAATGACCGAAAAATTGGCGCTCTCTTGTCGTTAAGTTTGAACGACTGGTAGATTGGCCTTCTTCAATTATCACACGAAAGACAGCATTCATTGATAGCTGCCTACCTTCACTGAGTATCAATTTTACTTTAAAGAGAGAATTAAAAATAACTTTTTTTCTGTCATTTTCTTAATCAGGTGTTCCAAGTTTTTGGGTGAAAAGCATCAACATATTGCTTCCTCGCTTGTACCAGAACTTCTTTCTACCCATCCATTTTTTGCCACCCCAGAGCCATCCATCGATGATCCAGCTTACGTTGCAATTCTTATCCTCGTGTTTAACGCTACAGCCAAAAGTCCCACAATGTTAGCTATGTTCCCAGATCACACCACTCGACATTACGCTTATTTGCGGGACAGTCAACCCGACCTCGTCCCGCATCTTGATAACGAGAAGAGCGTCTCAGATGTGCATAGTAAAAGGTTTGAGGAAGGAGGTAAGACAAGGTCACTTACAAAAACTCATTTCAATTTTTATTCTGTATATAGTTATATACATATTTTTTTCTTTTTTTTTTTTCCTTTCAGGGAAGTTTTATCATAGGCTTAACCTCTAAACTTCCCTTATCAAATTTTGTATATCTAAATTTGAATAAACATGTATGAGATTATAAACATGTGTAGGTAATCTTTCCACATGGTTAAAGCATTCAACTCAAGCACGGTTGATCTGCGTTCGAATCCTTATTGCAGATTCCGCCTTTTTCCTTGTCCTTTTTTCGTGCAAAATAAAAATAACCACCTCATCGATACTAAATATGCGTGTTCTCGCCCACTACCGTGGGAGAAGCGGTGGCCTGGTATTAGTGCGCTAGACGACATAGGTAACAAACTTCAACTTCAAGCCCAGGCCGGCTCGGTTATGTTGTGTTCTTAAGCAAAACCTCCACAAGGCCTTTCTCCGCCCAATAGAGTAAATAGGCATATTTACCATGGGCATATTTTTTTCACATTTACCGACGACCACCTGGGAAACCTGAAAAAAAAAAAAAAAAATGTTCGGGTGGAGATGTATAAACAATGATCGTTTTAGGCCAGATGGCCTATAAGACTTAACCACCACCTGCTCCTTACACAAATTATTTGATTTATTTTCTTGTTCTCCTCATTCCGATTCAGGATCACAAACTGCTAAGAGCTTCTTTGAAAGCGTACAATTGCGGCTTCAACACGTCACATCACTTAAGCTAGTAAACAAACAACAAATATTGAAAACAGCCATTCAAGACCTTAAACACGTAAAGAGCATTGATTCACGGCTTAGCGCCGATGCAGAATGTCTTTGCCTTTATCTCCAATGCAAGCTGATGATCGTTCAGGCTCAACAAGACAAGATGTGGACTGTTCCAGCGGCTATGTGTACTCATCAAAGTTCTGGTCTCAAATCCCTGGTTGAAAGCATCCTGTCGACATCGTATCGTGTTGAGCATACCTTTACTGGTTTGAGTTCTCAGCAAATCTTCCTTCTTCGACAATTAAGACTCATTGCACATGCGTTACAGATCTTAGTCACACAGCGATCTAGTCGAACTAACGAGAGAAACCTAAATTCCATGGTACAAGTTTGGGAATCATTTTTAACCAGAATAAAAACCTTCTCCAACTTCATCAACACAGAGAACATCAACACGGATGCTTTCTGCGCAGAGGTAGTTTCGTTTCCCGGTTTCTTCGAGTCCAACATAACAAATCCGTCCGGAGTAGTGGATTATGTTCAATCTATCATGCTTTCTCATGAAGTCCCATGGTTAGAATTGCACTCTAGCCTGAGCCAGGCATCTGCAGTACTAAATGAACCCCGCGGAAGTTCGGATAATCCCCTTTGCTTTTCTGCTGGCCTAACACTGGGTATCAATGTTGAAGCTATGTTGGAGAACGTCCCGGATGCGAGAAAAGTGAGAGTGCAGGTGGGTGTTACTTTGTAGTCAAATGAGCCTGCGACCAGGCCTTCATTATCCGCACGTGCGTGTCTTAGCGCGCGGGAAAGAATGAGGCTCTGAGCCTTGTGTGAAACGGCAAACGTCAGCTTACCCTTTCACGTTTCACGTAGAATCGCATTACTGAACAAAATCTCCCATTCTGATTGGTTAACGAAGCAAGGAGGTTAGCGTGGAATCGCGAGTTAAAAACGAGGTTAAGTGACATTGCTTCGCATCTATGCATACATAACAACTATGAGTAATGCTGTTTTCTTTCTTTTTTTTTTTTTTAATTTTATTCAATTATGCGATTCAAGGAAAATCCATTACTTGACTCATGAATTCCACTTTAAATTGCACTAGAAAACCGAAATCGCACTCATCGCTTTGCGATTCGTGTGATATCGGTCTTCGCGTGCAATTTTCAAATGCGGAATTCCGCCGTCAAGTAATGAATTTTCCTATAAAATAGCTTTAGCTTCGTGTAAGCTCACGTCATGGTGGATTGGAAGGCGCCTTTGTATGACTCACAAGGAATAGTATTGGTGCCCTTTTCCGGCAATTGACTTCCACTCGGTGAGACAAAAAGAAAAGAAAATCTTACGTACACGGTAAACGCGAAACAGGTTACTTTCACGTAGAGAGGGCAAAGTGCAACAGGCAAACGCGAAAAAATGGCGTTCACGTTTCACGTAAACGCGGTACTAAATCTCTCTAATTATGATGGCGGACTACGTGAAGATAGGAATTTGTAACCCCTTGAACCCTAAGAGCGTAATTTCTCCTTACAATATCACCTCTGAATCACACATTAAGGTCAGGAGAATAAAGGAAATGATTGATAAGGCTTATTTTCTGTTCTTTCGTTTTCTAAAAGAATTTAACAAAAATAAAAGAGCGAAGCGGAAGTTAGTTCTACCGGAAGTTATGTTACTGAGTTTGTTATTGATTGACAGTTTAAAAATAAAAAGACCCGGATTGACGGGAGGTGTGATGACGCCATAAAATAAAAAGGGGAAAACATCTAGTGTGGTTTTTTTCGTTGTTTCTTTTACGGGATTTTTTAACAAGTTTGGAAGTTTGGATAGGGAAAATTTAGAAACCTAAGGAGAAACAATGATTACTAATCAAAGATGCTCTTCATTGTTCATTGTTAAATAAATTCTCCTTGTCAGCACCTAAGAAAATTTATGCAGAACAGTATGGAGAATATGTTCACTGATATTACGGCATAAGGGGTTGAAACAATCTCCCTTGTAAATCACCATCCGTACTTCTTCGACACCGACACAGGTTTTACTTTGTCTGTGAAAGGTGAAGGCTGACCAGAATCGGTCTAATTACAGGTTGTGTTTCCTGATCTGAGGTGTCATTGGTTTATTCCCAAACGTGACGATATCCACGTGCTTTCTCCAGCGAAGCAGCGACTTGCCACGACTGTCATTTTGTCGCACTCGGCATGGTCAGGTAAACTGTCGCCATCTTGTCGTTATTTGAATCAAGGATAGCATACTCAATGCCCACTGTTAGTGCAGGCAGTGACACAGCGGGCGAACGACTAACGATCGTTGTGGCGGTTGTCAATCCTGACCCCCGCCATTTTTCACGCTCCCGCGAAAGCCTAGTCCTATCCAGAACCAAGAAATGTTTGCCCCTCACCTCTGTGAAACTGGGTTCGATTTCTTGGGGTGATGTCACATGTGGGATGAGTTTTTTTCATTGGTTCTCATTCTTGCCGCGTGGGTTTATCTACGGTTTCTGCAGTTTTCCTCCCTCCATAAAAATATGAACTCCAAATTACAGTTACAACCAGGAAAACAAGAAACGAAGAACAAATCTGTGGAAGTGCCTGTGCCAAATTCCACGTTATTGATAATGCATTTTATTCATTACGCTGAATAACCCACTGCACCGGTCGGTATATTCGTGACTATGTCTCTACTTTCCTCTATTTTATCATTTCAGAACCCGGTTTGGTAGATGTATCCTTAGTTCTCAAGTACACACCTGAAGTTGATGAAGAAAGTGTACTGAAACTCGGTTCACGTGAAGATAGCTCCACAGATGTAGAGACGCAAGGTATAAAGCAGACGAAAAGCGCCAAGGACAGTTTGGTCGACGGCGTAATAAATCTTTGTCCACCTGTTCAAGTATGCATCATGCCAAAGGCGCTAAGATGAGAAAGGACTGGTTGGATCACAACCATTGAAGGCTAGAAAGCTCGTCACCCGTTATACAGGCCTTTTTTCACGCTGTGATTTAATGCACGCATGTTTGCGGTCTGTGACAGTTTCCAATACCTTCATGCCTAACTGCACTTACCACGCCAGTTTGTTACCATCACATTTTGCCGGGTTCCGCGTCTTTTTTCCCAGCTAAGTGCTTCACTTCGTTCGTGCTTTCGGTTATCTTCCTTTTTCACGATTTTGCGCTGCGACCTTCCATCAATATCGCAACTAAGGCAGTAAGAACTTAATAAGCATTGTAGCATTTTTAGACAACATTTAGTCAAACTACACTGCGACAAATAAAATGAAAAATAATTTTCAATGTTGTTGTACTTGGAATTAGTGTGAATAAAATAGTGGATGTGATATAAAATATATTTTAAAAAATTCCTTACGATATTACCACTCACTGAAGTGAGTTCCCCCATCTCTGCAGTGTTCTCTTTTAAAATGATTAACCTCGTCTAAACATTTTCTGAAATATTCGTTGGTTCTCTGTATGTCAGTGCGTGACATTCGTTTTGTAACCAGACCCCCCATAACCAAAACACGAGACTAGCGTGACATACCACGTGTTATAAAGTCAACGAAACGAAAAGGTTGGCTCAGGAAATTCATTGATCCTTTACAAACGAATACTTGCCCGACAATATCTCCGAACGCGGAAACATGAATTTTAAAAATGCGATCATACTGCTCCTGTACTCATTTGCCTTATTTCAAGGCTTTCGAGGTGAAACATGCGATCCAAAGCCTATGATAACACGGCATGAAGGCAAAAAAGAGTGCGTGTATCTTGATACAAAAGGCATTAAAACCATTGGTATCGGCTACAACATGCAGAAAAAGGAAGCACCAGGGGTGTTTGCATCAATCGGAGCAGATTATAACAAGTTCATCAACGGCCCTGTGACCAAATGGAATGTTCCATGTAACTGCTCTAGCGTCCCCTGCCTCACTGAAGGGCAGATAGAAGAGCTATTGGATATAAGCTTGAAGACGGCTATTGCTGAAGCACAGAAAGTGATTCCAACCTTTGCGAGTCTTTGCTGTCCCGTACAGAATGTCATGGTTGACATGTCATTCACTTTTGGCGGACCGGTATTTGCTCAGTTCACAACATTTTCAAAGCTTGTCGTGCGTCAATACTGGAAGGCGGCCGGTGATGACCTTACAGTTTCGCTGTGGTGTAAGCAAGCTACTGCTCGGTGTATGGAAGACGCCAACATCGTTAGAAGTGGATGCAGCTGCTCCCAGCCATATCCACAGTCTTGTGACTCTCGAGCGTCAGCCTGTTGTGCTAGCAACACCCAAGAGACTTGCTGCAAAGGTGAGTTAAATTTCAAAATTAGAGATAGAAAGAAGTTCCGGTTTACTTCCTTCAGAGTAATGGCCGCGGCCAGTGTCCTTCGAGCGACGAGACGCAGGCGTTTCAGACGACTGTGACTTCTGGTTGTACGCTTTGAAATCCATCAATGTGTTGGAAAGCCATTTTCTTGGTAATTTCAAGTTGCACATCGCAAGAAGAGTCGTTAATTCACGTTATGAACAAGAATATTTCACATCCGGGTCCATGCTTCTCCCGTGACTTACAGCACCAATACTTGACTGTGATAGTGAAATTTGACAACGCCTTGTCGTAATTTAGGAAATTTCCGTCAGTGTAAGAAAGAGCTGCTCACACTCGTGCTTCTTTACGTTACCTAAAATCATGTTAGTTTCTTGGACAATGTGCCATTTCTTTTAGCAGACTTCCCAGTCAGCTCACTCATCTAATGAGTTATGAAAAACGAAACCTCTTTTGTAATCCTTGTACTCTTTCTGGTTACTAAAGATGATGTTTTTATCTAAAGAGAGGAAGTTCATATTCGTTTTGTTTCTAGTAGCCGTTGTCCGCGCGTTTCTGGCCCTGGTAGCTAATTTTGGACCGTTACAAAACAAATGAGATGCAAAACATTAATTTTACTTCTTCTTACACTATTAAGCCGCTGACCAACCTTTTTTTTTGCACTGTATTGTAAGAAACCGATCTATCAAGTAGATACATGTAATTTTAAAAAGCACCAACATTCCCTTTCAGGTACCTTGACTTTTAAAAGCAAGACATTTGATGAGCAGCTGTGTTGCCCTCATCCCAAGGCAACTTGCTGTGAGCACGATAGATGTTGTCCACAAGACTCGGTCTGTTGCCCTGCTCCGCCCGCGGTGCCTACTTATTGCTGCCCAGTGGATTACCCAGTGTGCAGAGATGGAGAGTGTTATAGGGCACGTGATGGGCACATGATCAAAGGAAAGCCTGTCGCTCAAGGATTTGTCTCACCATGATCCTTTTTTAGTCAAGTAGTACATGGTCGTTTAAGTTAATAGGTGTAAAAATGTTATTTTGTAAACTTCAGTAAGTGTGATTTTCACGCAAAACTGCAAAGGCCTGTGGAATTGTACGTTGATTCTTTGCATATCTAAATAAAAACTATTAAAAAAAAAAAACAAAACAGCGACTCGGCTGCATGTCATTTTGTTCAAGAGAATAATCATAAAGATAATCATAAAGTGGAAAGCGTGCCTCTCTTAATTGGCTACGGCATTGTCACTGTCAATTTCTCAGACGTGCAAGGCGTGATGACAAATAAAAGAATTACAGAACTTTGACCTATGTCATCAAGTCTCCGTAGGACAATATTTAATTAAGGAGCAACTGGACCAAATTTCTACTGCAGCTGATGGAGTTGAAAACAACCTAACTCACTCCCAATGGCGAAGCAATGATTTTTCAAAGGGGTACGATCACGAATTCCGCGCACTTTACGTGATATGTATTATACTGCTGCCCCACCTGATAGGCCAGCGGGCTCATACTCAAGCGACGAGATCCGGCAAATGGAGTATCGGGCAATGGAAACGATTCACTTATTCCACGTAGATTCTTTGGGGAGGTGGATGGTTAAAGGGTATCCTTGCCCCTCCCTTACCCCCTTGGTAAGCCCCTGAACCTTAACCCCAAGAAGAGTCGATGTATTGTTATCTCAGAAGAAAGAACTTGTTCGCATAACAATTATGTTATTTAAACATATTTACAAGCAAATTCTCCGCGTTAAATTACATGCACTTAATGCATGAATAGTCGTCATAATCAACTAAATACTTCAATTATTTGGTTACGGAAAAACTAGCCTCGAGCAGGCCCTCATTTTTAGCGCTTCGATACAAGGTTTTATTCGCCCACAGGAAAATATACGCGGCTAAGCTGCAGAACCGGCGTAAATTTTTCCGTTTTACAGGCAAACAGAGACAAACGCAAGGCGCGTGTGAGTCACGCGTGAGTGGAGGGGCGCGGAAAAGCAACGCGAGTCGCGAGAGGTCTGCCAGGGGTCTGGCACTTCTTAGTGCCAGATCCCCGTCAATTATCTCCACGACTTGTCCCAAGGGGCGGAAAAACGCACATCTTTCAACCCTAAGATATGAGGTCCTGCTCGCGAGCTACGAACAAACCAAGTAAGCCACGTTCGATTTTCGTGGGTAAGCTATAACTGATAGTTCATTTTCCCCTAAATGTAAAGTTTCTCATGGAAATACAAAGACAAATCTCAAACAAATTGTTCCACGAGTCTCAAAGTCGATCAGAAGTATACCTGATCAAAACCTGCGCTTTTGAAATAAAAAGGACCTCGTTTGTCTACGGAAGTACGAATAATTTGTCAAAGCCGGTCAAGTATGGCGATTCTGCCTTATCGTAACACTGGATTCCAATGAGCACGAAACAACAAATCATAAGGCTCAGAATTCCTTAGAAAATCAAAGCCATCGGCCCTTCAAACCGGATCTACAAGTGTTCTTTAACATCGCACTTTTAGCCTTATACTGACAGAATATCAAGTGAAGTATTTTACTCCTGGTTTCCCCGCGCAAAACAAAATTCTTTCATATTCTCCATAGCGAAAATACACTGTTTGACGAGAGAACAAATTTAAATCACTTCTACACAGTCCAGTAGAGAGAATAAGTGGTCGGGAATCGAAGATATACTTCAGTTTACTTTCACAGCCGAGATGACCAATCCTGCCGCCATAAAATTCTTCATTATACGCCACAAGTTGCATTAAAAAGTAAATTTACCCCTTGAGGTAATCTCTAAATTATCATAATCTCGTGTACCCTGGAACTCAGAAAACCGCAAACAGCAGAAATGTTCACAAATGGAAGGTTATTGTGTTCCAAGGAGATAGCCAAGGTGTGAGAAAACTAAACCGCAAACAGAAATGGTAATTAGTTTTCTACTTTTGAAGTTAGCTCGCGTTTCCTAAACTTGAGAGAATACACAATCAACCAGTTAGAATTAAATCAAAGTGTTTACGGCTCCTTGAATCGCACGGTAACAACGGTAAGTTATCGCCCGTGTTTCCAACTGCTTTTCTTGCTGTGCGTCTACTCAGAATCCACCCACACTAAACAGTATATGAAGGGCTGGTTTAAAGTAAGCCAAACCCTACCCCTACTTTGCCAATATAAACTATGAGTGAATCACAGACTTCAGTTATTTTGCCACTGACATATGATTGACAAGGCTGGATTTGAACATAATGGAATCAACTGTTTCAGATCTGTCCTCTGATTGGTTTTCATTTTCTGGGTGGCCTCTCTTTCAATAGATAGTGGACTGTAAGCTGGCTGACTAAATGATGATCGCTCCGATAATGGCCGATAAGGCCTTTAAACCCGGACTTTGCTGTCTAAAACAGCTTGATACAACAGACCATAACGGTTTGACAATGATAACTGTAATAATATTTCATTTATCTGTTTTCCATATATCATTGGACTCTTTTCGCAAGCAAAATAGAGGCAGAGGTTATCTAAACTGATTTTTCGAAAACGGAACACATTATTTAAGGTGAAATCACCGATATGAACGTTTTTCATCAGCTTTTCCACAATTAAGTTTTAATTCTTTGAGAGTGGAAGGTGATCAGAAAAAAAAAAAAAACTACTCAAAATACAATACTATGTAATTCTTGGCAGTATAATGAATTTCGTTGTATTTTCTCAAGATAACATCTAACGCAACAAGGAAACCGTTAGGAAAGTACATATTCTTTTTAACCTTTCACAACCTGCAATCAAAAAGGATCATCGTCTCAGTAAATAATCCAACGTATGTTACGCTGACTTGTTTATTACGGGCTCATGGGCTGAGCCCCCACGCTTGTTGCTCTCGTCCTATTTCCTTGGAAGCTGGCTTGGTTTTCACGAGTGGACAGTGATAGTGGACTGCTGCTAGAAAATCGCCTGACTGGCGAAACACTGAAATGCAGAAAGGGAGTTGGATATTAGCCAGCTTAGCAGACGCGCGACAGGAATGCGAGAAACATGCCCGGTGGTTCTACGCGCGCGTGAAATTTTCGATTTATCATACTCACTTGGAAGCCGATCGCCTCAGAGTTCCAACTCGTTTTGGTGTCTTGTTCAGCGAAAACGCTCTGCTGACCTTTCTTGTCGTCCGTTTCGCAACCCTGCGTTGATAGCAACGAAAGAAACAATACTTCGACACTTTGATCGAGTCTTCTTCCTTTCTCGGGTCGGAAAAAAATGACCCGGACAGACCAAATTACAGAAAATAGAGCCAACTCTATTTTAACGGAGACTCCTATAAGACAGATGCCTCTCAAAATATAACACTTCTGGTCGGACTTTGTCATCTGAACTTTTTCTCAATTCTGTATTAACAGAAACCTTCACCTTTTTGAGAGGCCGAGGGCCTCAAAATATAACCCTTCTGGTCGGACTTTGCCGTCTGAACTTTATCTCAATTCCGTCTTAACAGAAACTTTTAAGAGAGTCAGACACCTCAGACAGACCCCTCTAAAACAAAATACTTTCAGTTGAACCTTGCCGTCTGAATTATGAAGTCATTTTTTTTTTAACCTCACTTTTCTAGGACAGACAATCGTCGCCGCGTTGCTGAAAGCTAACTGTAGGCGGTTCAAAAATATCTCGAGGAAAGATAATCAAACCATTCAAATTTTTTCCAGATGGTTTACCTGACCGCTCGACTTAACGTCCCGTTTGACATGTCACTTTTTGACAACATCAGTTCCTGGGGGTCAACTGTGGTCAGAAAATTTTCCTGAAAAATGAAAAAATCATCTTTTCTCAAACACCAGGCTAGCCCAGTAAGCGAGAAAAATTTTGAATCACTTAAATACATCGAAGTTCAACAAAATTTTATACATTTCACAAACCGAGTTAGCCCAGTCGACAAAGTTTAACTTACTGTAACTTAACAGTATCTGGGAGGTCATATCCCCGAATTCCGTATTGATTTCAAGTTGCCAAACTGACTCAAATCTGTGATTTTTCATACCACATAACCCGAACATTATCCAAGTTGTTCAAACGAAATCCGAACATTACCGATGATTTCCCGAAGGCGTTCCGAAGAATTTTCAGGTGTGGCCGTATCTAAAAGCCTTTTTGTTCTCTACTGCTGCGTATCTAACATATGTCTCACCGAGTCCGCCATGCACGCTGTATTAGCCAGTTCCGTGGTGAGCTTCTGGAGCCATTCCGGTTTGTTTATGTCATCTCCTACAATTCTGAACATCAACAATGTCTCTTTCATTTCCTTAGGGCAGCGGTAAATGACACCAAACAAATTCTGACAATCTGTCAATGTACGGAAAGCAAACGAAAAAAAAATAAAGAAAAAACATGTAAATGGAAGCATTCACCTGTAATCAAAGTAGTTACACTAGCTAAAACTCAAAGTTCCACAAAGATTGAGGAGCACTCAACACTAAAGTAAGCTGTGTCCGTGCTTTCTTGTAACTCGTCAACAGATATTAATCCCAGGTCGCTTGAGCAGTACCTAAGCTTCACTCTCCCAGGATATTTCCACGCAATGATCGCTTTTTAGTTGTCTCAAAAAGCTCAGTTTACAAGCCCTTCACTTGGTGGCTTTGCAGTTTGTTGTTAACGTTTTAGAACAAGTCTATGATCCTTGTGATTCGACAAATTGCAAGGTTAAAAGAGAGTAAGCCACAACCTCGTTCCCAGGGTCTCTCATCTACCCTTCCTCTCGCCCCAGGGGCGGAAAGATAAGAGACTAAGTAAACGAGGTTGAATTAGCCAAGGAGGCAAAGATGACTAATAGACAGCGGGATCATCAATCATAGACGGCGCGCAAATGGAGTATGTCCCTCCCTGATTGGCCGTGAACGCCTGTAATCCAACAACACACTGCTTACCATCGTTATCACGGATGTCAACCACGCGCCTGACATGTGCCAGGGGCATGAATTTCACGTGTTTGTATGCTTTCTGTGGCGTGCGTCCCGCCGGACTTTTCATTGGTAGAGGTACGTTGTTTATCATTTTTAAACCTCGTCGTTTCGTTACCTACAAGGGAAACAGTCATTTGTCAAAGCCAGAAACAAAATGAAGGAGGCCAGGTCACAGTGGACAGATAAGCTGGCTTTATAATAAACTCATAAAGGACACTTTGGCCTGGATACCGAGTTGAGAACGAACCACCATTCAATTTTCAACCCGGTTTCTAGGCTGCGCAACACAACGGTCAAACACTGCGCATGCACGAGAGTTTGAAAACAATTAAGAGGGATCTCCCGATGCGTGTCTAGTGTAAAGTTAGAAAGAAAAGGTTTAATTCCCAACTATTCCACCGCGTAAGACAAATGAAAGAAGGATCTTGGAGAAATATTAAATCGTAGTCTTATTTATTGAGATATTCCAACTGTTTTTGACGCGGACGCTCCGTTCAATCTTGCTGCACAGTCTACTGTCTGTGTTAAACATAGGCCTGCTATCGTCAAAAATGTCTTGTGTAACTCTGAGTCTTCCCTTTTTTTACACATTTCTATTTGCTAGATAATGTAAGGGTACAATAGCGAGACGTTACATGTTAATCATTTTAGGGAATGAAAAGATTAATGCTGCAAAGTAAATGAAATTTCGCGGTGGCCCATTTAATAAAGGGACAAGAAATGATGGAATAGGCGACCTCATGAATGTCACAGAGTGTTATCATCCTACCTCCAGGCTATCATTAAAAAGGAAAATAGTCACTGCTTCTCCTTTGCCGCAAAGGGTGTCACTCAGCTCGAAGGTGTCCACTTTAGACACGTAAACACGATGTGAAGAGAGAACGTAGGCCTAGGAAATTAGACGTGAAAACCACAACTAATCAGCAAATATTATTTCGCTTTTATTTAACTGAACGTTGTAAAAACTAAAACTAGAGAGTCGCAACGGTCCATCAGGTGGAAAATATCACAGGAAGCAGAGAAAAACTCAGAACAAAGACAAAAAACTGTCCAGAGTGGGAAACAAGCGAGTTCTCATGTCGCAGGTGTTGTGATTTTACGTCCGATTGCGTGATAAGGTGGCGAACGAAGTACAAATTATACTCATTTGAAGGAATCCTAATCAGTTTTCAATTGAGTGTCGAAAAATCAAAACCAAAATAATCCCTGGGACCGATCAAAACAAAGGTTTACATTATCATTAGCCAATGAAAACTAAATAAACACTGGGACCAATCAAAGCAAAGGTTTACATTATTATTAGCCAATGAAAACTAAATAAACACTGGGACCAATCAAAACAAAGGTTTACATTATCATTAGCCAATGACAACTAAATAAACACTGGGACCAATGAAAACAAAGGTTTACATTATCATTAGCCAATGAAAACTCAAAGTGAAAACAAGCAAACTGCTAAATGGGCGGGAAGACGCGGGTGACCAAGTCGTCGTTGGTTTTAGTTTTGCATCTGATTGGATGAGAGGATGGCGCCAGTTTTCTTGACCAATCACAGGGCAAAGTTAAGTTAAACTAAATCAATCCTTTCGACACTCAATTCAAATTTGCTTTAAAACCGTGGTGAATTCACCAGTATGAAAACTGACTTTTCCGACAAATGCAGTGCACTTCATAACTTTTTACCCATACAAGGACGTTCTTCTTTGTCGTATAGCAGAACTACCATTCTTTCAGTATCCACCTCAATGAATTTCGCTGCGACACATTACTAGAAAATTTTACCAAGGACTTACTGGGCATCCATCAACGTCCCTGAGAATCTCGAACATCTGCACTTGGCCCTCTGTTTTCCTCTTATCCTCGTTTATGTGGCTAAAACATAAGAGTAGAAGTTAGTTCCCAGAAAAAAAAAGCGCATCGAAGCTATTTTCTGTAAATCAAAGAAGGGCTCATGTAGAAAATCATTAAAATACCGAAATGAAGTAAGCTCACGCCAAGCTAAAGCGGTAAGGTTTACGCAATTTTGTGTGAAACGTGAAAGGGCAAGCTGACGTTTGCCGTTTCACGTGCTAAATCCCCATGCAAACCTCTCGCCGGCTACTAATGAGTGCTTGCTCGCGGGCTAACTACACGACAGTAAGAAAATCCTCTTCAGTCTTACGTCATAACGTTCTTTAGCGAGTCCACTGCCTTGCCAAGAGCTGCATGATCGGGATTTTTCTTGTCTGTATGTTTCAGCAGATCTAGATATGAAATGAAAACAGGTGAGTTTCCTGAACTTCAATGAACATTCATCAGTGAAATGATCACCCGATTCCTAAAGGTTCTGGACTCAGAAATCTGGGGCGCCCACCTCTTAAAAGTTTTCAAGTTACCAAAAGGGCAAGGTTGGTAACCTGCGGCATATGGAGTACGCTTAGGAACAGTAGCATTGTTAGTTTACCTGACAGAAGCAAATTCATGCTCGGAAGTCTTTGCACCGGTCTGATCAGAAGTTCAGCCAATGTTTGTCTTCCACACTCCGGTCTGCTGAGACACGCCTGGAAAAGCAATCAGTTCGAAACCAGAGATAGTACCACTCACATAAGGTAAAGTCTGTTTACGAGCCTAGTGGCCCATTAGGCCGGTGCTTAACTCCGGTTTCTGTAGCATGAAGCGACTAGGAGTATTTCTACTCCCCCCTGGATGGGATGCCAGTCCATCGCAGGGTTACCCCCAGCATTAAATTTGCCGGTACCCATTTATACACCTGGGTGAAGAGAGGCACTGTGAGAGTAAAGTGTCTTGCCTAAGAACACAACACAAAGTCCCGGCCGGGGCTCGAACCCCGACCACTCGATCCGCAGTCGAGCGGACGAACCATGAGGCCACCGCGCCTCCACAACCACTCACATATGCGCGTTGTTATACGAATAGATACGCATATACACGTGCGTATTAAGCGTACACATCCACGTCTGATGTGTCTATGTTATTCAATACCATAAGTTTCCAATGTGATATATTGTCGTGTAAAAGAAAGAACTTTTGGGTCTGAAAAAGCGACGAATCAATAACGGAAAATCTATATCTTGGATGGAAACTACATTACACCTCAAAAGTAAATACACACGTCGCATCGTTTCGCGTATTTATCGAAGAACGAGCAGTTCCAGTAGATTTGCATGTAGATTGAAGTGCCCTTGTGATGAAACAAATTGACAGTTAGGTAGCCAAGAGACGAAGAAAAAGATTACAAAAGCAATTTGAGTAAATCGATTGAAAGCCAGCCCATTTACCTTTAAAAAGGCGTGAAATCTTGGTATGTCTCGATCACAACTGGCTACAGTCTCTTTGGTCATCTCAAAGTAGTTCACAAAAGGTGGATAAACTTTGACCATTTCTTCAGCCTGGAGAAAGCAAATTAAACAGACAGAGGATTGGTAAAGCTGAATACTGACAGCAATTTTTTATTGAAACGCGCACGCAACATCTTCAGAAGTTTGTTGAGAAGGAAATGGAAAAAAGAAAAAGAGATATCGTTCCCTCATACAGAGTTTGCTGTACTTACATGGTTGATAATGATGTTCCCAATACATTTGTCTTCTTTCCAATCATTCACCAAAACTTCAAGTTCATTCTACCATGGACAAGAACGTTTCAAAAGGCAAAAAAATAAAATCCATGTTGATGGATTGGAGCTCTAATTGTCAGAGATCGTATTCAGCATAACCAACACGAAGAGACAATTTTGTCAATCAACACGAGTAAACTCTTTGCACTCTAACACCAGTATGCATATTCTCCATACTGTTCTCTATACATTTCCTAGGGTGCTGACAAGGAGAACTTGTTTAACAATCAAGAGCTTCTTTAGTTGGTGACGATTTCCTCCATACTTGTGACCTTTGTGTGATTCAGGGGTGAAATTTCCAAGGAGAAATTAGAAGCCAGTCGCCCTTTGGAGTTTGAGGGCTGACAATTGATTATCAATCAATGATGCCTTGGGTTAAATAAGTTCCAAACTTCAAAGAAATAAACTCTGGAGGTTTACCAGTAATTCAGTGATCAAAATTTTGACAAGTTGGTGGGGATTTCAGCTCATAAATTGACCGAGAAATTATGAGAACAAAATATTTAACTATTGACAACATTTAAGCTCACCATTATCTGATTGTGAACCTCCAGGATTCCAGGTAAACGCCCAAATATTGTTTTGATGTCCTCAGCTGAGATAATTGATCCCCCACGCGGGTCTTTTTCAAGTGGCTCTTTGAAGACCTTAAATTTGACAAATTTGAACAGGTGAGGGAGTTGAGTTAATATATCTTATTAACCAAGCACGAGGGCCGTACTGGGAGAATATCGGCCTGAGGTCTCGACAGTATGGACGGAGCTGTGCTCGGTCCGTACAAAAAAGACCAAGGGCCAATATTCTTCCAGTACGGTCCCGAGCAAGCTTGGTTAATAAGAGATTTATTATATGACTGAAGTTCAAAGGGACACAAGTGCGGTATCATTCGGGACCATTCTGGACAGTGCCCGGTCCAATACTGAGAGAATATTGACAGGCAATAGAGCATTTTGATTGGTTGATTTTAGTTATTGGCCCTCTGACTGCCCAAGTTGTGTAATAAAACCCTTTACATCCTAACATCAGTATGCATATTCTCCATACTGTTCTCTATACATTTCCTAAATTGCTGACAAGGAGAATTTGTTAAACAATCAAGAGCCTCTTGAGTTGCTGTCATTTCCTTTATTCTCTCCTGACCTTAATGTGTGATTCAGGGGTGATCCTGTTGGGGGAAATTAGATGCTTGTCGCCTTAAGGGATCAAAGGGGTAACCCTACAGAAGATTTTTGACCAGGTCTTATAAATGCTTTTGAAAATTTTTACCTCTACTCAATCACATGACAACCTCTTAGCCTGTATTAGTTAGCACAATGAGAGTGCCTGAGTGGATGTCGCTCACAGAGTTGTCATGGTTACCCTCTGCACCTGGATGCAGTTATTGGTTCATGCAACCTCTTGGACACTTACCTATTGTTGATAATTTTAATTAACTTGTTCATACCTTGAGGATATTGGTAAGTATCTCAACATAGTTCTTTTCTGTCTGCAGCAGCTCCATGGCAACTTGCTGCCGCGATGTCAGAGGTTTTGGAGGACCAGGGACAGGTGTGCCTAGAGGTGAGATGGTTCCACTTGGCGTGTCTACAAAATAAGGCAAAAGGGGCATGACTCTTCATAGTTACAAGATGGCATGGCCTGTTACTCAAAGCAGTCTTACCATAGGTTCTCTCATACAATACTGGTAAACCTACACACTTGACATAACTTATTTCAAACTTTGTGTTTTTTTTCCCTCGGCTACTGTTACTGACAGAAGTTATGGTACTTTCCAACAAAAACTCTCAATGAAACTCCCACTAACCTTTTGGTGTGGCTGGTGATACCAGAGAATTCTCCAGAAGAGACCCAGAGACAGATAACAAGTCACCACTCTTGCGCTTTGCACGGAAAAGAGGAGACTCTGGTGACAGCAGATCACTGAGATCTGAGTCCTTGAGCTTGCGACGTTTCCTCTTTCGATTACCAACAGGTGTACTCTGCTGCTGTGAACAAGGCACAGAAGGACCCTGTTAATGGTATCATAGACTAAATAAACAAGTGCTTTATCACATCATGATGAGATATTAAACCCAATGTAATGTACAGTAAGGAAAGCAAGCTTGACATTAATTTGTAACTCACTGTTGCTGTGAAGTGATACAAAGACTCATCGGCACAGGCATCCATGTGAATACTGGCCCAGAACCACTACAAGTTAAAAATTAAAAAATATGCATTATTTTGGAGTCCTCTGACATGTAGAATACAAAAGCCTGAAGAAAGATAGAACCAACATAAAATAATAAAGAAAAAAGAATGAAAAATATATATACACCAACCCCAAAAACCAATGGAAAGTTGTTGTAAGAGTAAAATAATGAGTAAGAATAATGAACCAGACCTGCTGTCGCTCTCTATCAGTTTACGTTTTTGCCATGAAAAACATCAAACAAAGATGTTCAATTACCATATATATTTTCTAATTTTGCATCAGAGAAGAGCGTTATTAGTTGGGCAGCCTAATCTACATGGTTCAATTTTTATTCATAACTGAATGATCATGGTGACTGCCACTGACAATTCACTGTATGCATGGGCAGGGGTTTCATTAAGGGCCTGGGTTCCGGGCAAATTGACTAGATGTGAGGACGGTTTTGCCCGCGTGGTTTCACCATCTGGAGGAAAGCTTATCTTATAAAGAAGTACAGCTCAAAAAGTTTTGCCTGCCTGTGAAAACCAGTTACCCTTCTGCTGAAAAGATTAATGAAACCCCTGTATAGGTCTGATTTCAATCAATAAATGAGCAAACCTCTTGTCGAACAACTTGACATCGTGATTGCTCAACCAAACCACCAGGTAACTCTGTGACACTGTCTTCAATAACAAGATGTGTGCAGTGACTATCACTTGCCTCCACAGGCACCCCACCTGAAAACAACACTCAACATTTTTAGGGAAAAAAGTGAAAGCTTACAGAGACCAGGTAAATTAAATAACTTCTTGGAGACCACATAACAACTATAATCATTTCACACTAAAGCTTAGTCATCGATTCATCTGAAAGCTGTTATACAGCTTTGCATGTAAATCTGATAAAATACAAATGAAAGACATGCTTTACTTGAAAAGTTCAGAAAACATCTGAAAAGAAAAGCAGAGATACCAATGAATCACTTTTACAGGGTTCATACACTTTTTCAGGCCAAAGATTCAAGGATTTTTCAAGGACTTTCCAGGACCCTACTTAGAAATTTCAAGGACTTTTTGTAATGACAATTTTACCTCAAAACCAAGAAAAATGTTTCTGTTAACATCTATGTTTTGGGTTTTAGCGATGGTGCAAAACAAAAGCAAATATTTTTCAACGTTGTTCAATAAAAAATCAAGGACTTTCAAGGACCCAAAACGAAATTCAAGTACTTTCAAGGCCTTGAAATTGGCTTCCTGACATTCAAGGGTTTTCAAGACGCGTACGAACCCTGCTTTTAGCCATTCCATACTCTAGATCTTTCTTATGGAAGTATTATTGCAGAGGTCATGACTAAACTGGCTTGTAACCCTCAAACTCCCATGATCTGATCATTTATTCTCCCCTCTAGCTGCTATACATTTCCCTATAAATAAGTTGTGAGAATTTGGTGCCAGATCAAGATAACAACTTCTACGTGATAACTTTAAGTATTCTCACTACCTAACTACTAGATAATGTATGGATGTCAAAGGGAAAAGTTACATGTTAAAGCATTGTTAATCACTGACCTTGCTGCTCAGTTGACTCTTCCATGTGTTTCTTCTCATCGTCAGAAAAACCGTGAAAACTGAGATAGCATCCATGAAATGGCATCATCTTGTATTTTTCCTTCAGTAAAAAGGATGGCGATATCATTAAATTACAGTATCGTGACACGTAAGCCTTAGAAGAAATTTATCAAGTTGCTGGAACTTGGGCAAAGTAACAGGTGCATTGAACTTTGACTGATACTAATACAATAGTTGTCTTTGAATCTCAATATAGAATTTTGCCTACCAAGTACAGAATTGATCTTACAGGTCAGTATAGAATGAAAAAAATTGAAAGTAGACCCCTGGAAGCCCTCTGGCCAGGGTAAAGGATGAACTTATTAGCTTTGAAAACTGTACAAAAAAAAAGAAACTCACCATTCCATGATCCATTGCACTTGCACCCCTATAAAAAAAAAAAAAAACACATTTAGCACCCCTATAAAAAAAACACACATTTAGACATTTAATCCTTTCAGAATTATCCAGTACACATTAATAGCATGTGTTGATTAATATGACTGAGTGATTAGCCATTCCAACTTTTGATCAATGGAGAAACCAGTTTATGGCTGCCTCTCCAATGTAACATCAATCTTTACTCACAGCTCATGTCTTTTCTCCCAGCATTTGTTTACCCACTCTACAGTCATTATAGTGGTTCCAAGACTCACGGCAGCCTATGGAAACATTTTTTTCATAAATGGTTATCAAAATAACTGAGTACTGCAAGAATCAACATCTACATGTACCATGTGCCTTGGGCCTCCTACTCTCCCAAAATATTTACCCAAAAAATGTAGTAAATATACCCCTAAGGGCTTATCAGAGAATCAATAGTATTCATGCGGTCATGTTTGGATCCGCAAAGGCATTGGATTCCCATGCTAACCGCAGTCACTAGGTTGATGCAAGATTATAGATAACTCATCAATAAAAAAGTTTAGAGGGAGGTGACATAAATTTCTCTTTTTCAGCTAAGTTTTTTACAAGACTTTGATTTTCTCTGAGGGAGATGAAGCTTGGATGGATATTGTATTACATAGGCACTCCTCTTACAGACATCACTTGAGCAAAATAAACTAGTCACAGTATTGAAAACAAACAATCCAGTTAAGCTCAATTGGGCCGATCAATGGTTAGGACCAAAGAAAGCAGAAGAGGACAAAGACTTTAAAAGATGGAATTCACTACTTGTTTCTCACAATCAGACTGTTCAGTTTTGAGTAAGTGATTCAGTAACAAAAGGTGCCTGGTCATTTGCTCGGCATTACTTACTCAGCAGTACCCTTCTCAATTTAACTTCACACCATAAACTTATGCAATATAATTTGATTTTCAGTTGAGTATGGCGTAACAGAAGTTTGGTGACCACATTTTGGTATCACAATCAGGTTGTTGTTGCACACAACAGGCTTCGTTCTAGTGGCAAAATGTTGTTTGACCTTTCTTAAGGGCTTTCAAGTTTGACAGGTGGTCATGCATGGCTCTTGAGACTTGATCACCAATGGAAATGAGGAAGGTTGCCTGTAACACTGCAATTTTACAGCCAAAATCCCATCACCAAACTCTTTTTCTGCTCCCCACTCAGCTGATAGTTGTACAAAATGTTCCAGCTCACAATGTGATTGCTGAATGCAGATCACCAAATGGTAACTTCTGCAGCATATTTTGTTGCAATTTTTTTTTCTAATTTTCCTGCTCACCTAAAAGGTTGCAGCTTGGAGCCTTAATATATATACCTACCCTGTATTTCTGCCCATGTATTGAGCGAGCAACAAGATGTGTAACCCTGCCGCTAAATTCTCTCCGTATACTGCCACCCATATGATGTACAAGGTTACATAATCTTCCAAGTTCTTCCTTCTTTCTGAATCCAGTAAAGCAGATTATCAAATTACTCATGACTGTACAGTAAAGGGGTCTTGAATTGTATGGCAGGGGCTGTCCCTGTTTAGCACAAGAATGAATTATGGGAAGTCCAATGATCCGTTGTTCTTCTTTGCGTAAAAGTTCAAAATGTTCTCCCTCAAAAGGCTCACAAACATAGACTATTTCGATGTTATCATTTGCGGTTTGCATCACTTCTTTCACATCATCTGTTACTGTTATTGGAATTTTAAGAGCCTGGAAGAAATACAAACAAAAAAAGTAAAAGCTTAGTAGATTTTGACAGTAAAGCCAAGTTTTTTTGGGAATGAACTTTACATTCCAGTTTTTCCGGGTTTACCCAAAAGGAAAAATTAGCAATACTGTATGATTTAAATTTACTGCTCTTGTTTTCCTTCTGGGTGAGTCAAAGATATTATAGGAAATGTTCATTGTAGTCTGCACTGTGAAATTTCAAGATTTACAGAAGAGAAAATGAACCTAACTGGAATAATTTTGGAGTTGTTATTCTATCATTTGGTAAAAAAATACCTTAAAATATGCAGTAAGATTTCCATATAACCCCATACATACATAACAAAGCCATTATCCCAAAGGTAATCTGTTGTTTTGCCTCTGCTTTCTTTTATCCAAGAAATGTATGCACAATGAAGTATGGGGTTATACGGAAATCTTGCCAAATATGCTAACAAAGTATGCCTACAACATGTACATCCACATGTCTACAGTGATTATGATTTATAGGAATTAAGCACAAATTATTGATTCAATAATGTACATGCATGTATGCTTCTCACATGCATACCAAATGCAAGTGGGAGGGAGAGATTATCAATTAATAACAGACTAATCTAAAATCGTGTTCACCTCGATTGCTTGCATGAGCTCTTGATTTTCTCCATTTTCTTTTCCCACCACACAAAGTCGTGTTTCCATGGCGGAGCTGGAGCTACTGCTCCCTAAAGATTGATAATAAACCATATATTTTACAAGTGCAGATAAAAAAAAAAAAAAAAACCTAACGGTAACGGTTGGGTAGCTGATCATATATTATGAAACTTATTCATGATCAAAGTTTGAGACGAAAATATACACCTCTTCGGTGTACCTGAAAAACGATGGATCTGGCAGCTAATTTCAATTCATAGTTTTTCAAAAGGAGAATAAAAGTGCAAGTTTTTCTGGGATAAATTACTGTGGCAGTTCTGACCCCAAAGAAAGCAACAACTCTTAGGTCAAACGTGTGTAATTCAAGGTACTTGTGATGAAAAGGAATCTATGATCGAGAGCAGGATTGCAGACTGTATGTGATTGGACTTTGCATTGTAGTACCCTCATCATAAGTCCATAATGATAAATTCCTTCATAAAAACAAAACTTGTACACATGATCGACTGTAAACATAGACATAACCTTTCACAATTTGTCTGTAAGCTTTACCTTCATGCGAAGAATTTTGATGATCAGAGGCGTCCAGATTGCCTGAATTGTCGGCATCCATCTCACCAACAAGACGCTGTACGCGAAAAATACTCTTTTATGTTTAATTCTGAAGGGCTTATTTGAAATAAGAAAGAAAATGATGCGATTTTCTGCAAACGTCTAACAGTCCGAAATCCAAAGAAATATTTCTTTTCAAAAATGGCGGTTGTACAACCGTTGAATAGGTGATTTCCATATTTGGAAGTTGGAGCCGGAAGATCCCGATAGAAAAGTGCTAGTCAGCGGTGCAATAACGAGGAAAAGTACTTCAAGTCCGGCATATCGAAACAACGAGAAATACAGTTTTATCCTTCACATTCTTGTAGATGCGGGATCGTTAGTGGGTCACCGCAATTAAAGTTTTAAACAATAAGGTTTTTCACTGTTGTAACGAGTGCGCTTCCTACACTTGAAATTATCCATTAAGGCACCTATTTTCTCAAGAAGATCACTCCATCTGTGGTCATCACGAAATTGATCTACTGGGTGCTAGTTCCTTCCCAGATCATCCCAGTGCAGTCCCCACTACCAGGTCTGCCCCACTACGTAATGCTGTTTCATCTTTGTCACGAGTATCCAGTTAACCCATGGTCCTTACGGGAGTTGGAAGAAATAATAGGGGCAAGTTTAAAGAAACCGTGGTGCTACTTCAGAGGAGAGTATTACGAGATGTTTGGTTTTATCAACTAAGATGTTGATGTAAATTTGCCACAGTAAAGAGTTACTAAATCTGAGGTTTCAAGCATTAGTCCTTCGTCAGAGCGATAAGGAATGGAGTGTGTGAAGGGTTGGGAGGCTAAAAGGGCCAGTTCAACGTTCAGCCTTTGAGTTGGTTCTGAACTATCTTGAATTTAGCTAAATCTTTAACCACGACGTTTATTTTTGTAAACACTGACAAGAGGACCAAAAGCTAGCGTCGAAAGGAGATATATTAAATGAAAACAACCCTCTTATATATCATGACAATACTCACTGCTTGCGTAAAGCTGTTGTTTGGCTTAGACCCTGTCTAAATATCCGGCCCTAAGTGCTGAGTTATCTCGCCTACTTTTTGTAGAACGCACAGAAAGTTCACTTTAGCGACAGAAATGATAAACAAGAAACAAAACTACTCCAACGCCAAGCATACTTGTTTGTTTTCTGAGGTTCTGCAAATCGCGCATACTGAAATCAAATCCTTGCAACACACACTGGATATAGGCACGCTTAAGTTTACAAGTATCGTGCAATCCGTGCATCGTCAGGTCTAGTGCACGTGGCCACGTGTTTATAAGCACCAGCATTGTTCACTTATCGTTGTAGTATTTAGGAGATCTCCTGTTTCTTTCAGCAAATGATTTCCGTTCTGCACAGGTTGCCGGGATTTCCCCCTTGCACGGCTGGCACAATAACTGGTTCTCGATCGTGTCATCAACAACTCATCGACAAAACAGCAGCTTAACCCTTTTAGTTTAAAAATTTGTATTTTAGTTTCAGCCATGCTACCCTGTTTGAATATTAAATATAAATGCTGACTCAAGTAGACCACATTCTCCCAGTCAGTTATTTACCAACTAGGCTGAGTGTTTCTGTGTTCGTAAAAACGTGCCGGAAATGGAAATGCAGATCGAAACATTGATCAAAGCATCGACTCATTCTTCAGATATTCCTAAGTGTTTATCTGTGTTTTTTTCTTAAGTGTTTCACACATGTTCAGTTTACTTATAGACTGTCGGCGTACACTATATAAACAAAGCCAATGTTTAATAAAATATTTATAAAACAAAACGTAAGGTGGTAAACTATGAAAACACAACTTTCCGAATTTATGCTTAGTTATTGATGCAAAGAAATCTATTACGTTTCCTCCTGTCAAATGACCTCGTACTCGTATACCGTTTTCGTCTTTCAGTACAGTTCCTAATTTCGATTTTCAACCGTTTTAATTTTACCTCGTTTATTGCGGCACACCCAGCATGCTGTTGATGTATATCGTGTTTCAAAAGTGCCCGCTGGTAGTTTGGAGGTAAAAGATCAGATTTGGGTCGACGTTTTTCAAGTGTTTTTTTATGTTTTCGTGTTTCCGTTACTCGGCGTTTAACGTCGGTGAAAATGAACGATCTTTTGTTTATTCTGTTAATTTGGTAGCCGGAATGTTAACAAACACTAAGAGAGAAAACCACATCTTGACCACGGTTAACTGCGCTTTTTGAAATTTGAATTGATCTTAATTAAAAGAAGTTTCCAGTCAAGTTTGGAGCGAATAGAGAAAAATAGAGGAGACAAATTTCTCATGGTTAATGCCAATCATTTGTTGTCTATCCACGAAGATTAACTCCCTTTATTGATGAGATTTCAAATTTCAAACAAATTTAAAATCAGATAAATTTGAAAGCCTATAAACAAACTGTGCTTTGTGTTTTGACCACACGTAATATTGAAAAGTTTGATAATTCTGCCTACTTTGATTGGTAAACTGGTAAAGAAAATATTAATTTAATTGACTATTGTTGACAGTAGGCAAACCAATTTAACCCATTAGTGAAATCAGTGATTCTACCATTACAGGAGACTACTGAATGAAAGATTCTCCTTGAACTCTTGGCCTTGCACCCAAAAATATAAAGTTTCAATGAAATGAAAACCAAAACAATCCTTCAATTGCCCGCGGCTTCGTAAAGGTAGTAAACAAACCTGCAATCGATGTCGGCTGTTTGCGAGATCAAAGAACTGCTTTGTATCACGTTTTGACCAGAAAGTTCTCTGAAGGAGCAACAGTGAAGCTGCTTAAGACAACTTTACTTTTATTTGAAGTATTTGCTGAAAAGAGATTTAAGCAACATATGATTTTCTTTGGTTTGTTGATCTTTATAAAAGTCGCTGCCACTTTTAACCTTTTTTGTTGGTTCTTATTTTTGGACCAAGTATTTGTCAGCTTGTTACTGAAAACAGCAGGTGTTCGAACTCAAAGAATAGGCCGCACGCTAAACCATTTAATTCGAATGTTCGATTCTGCTCGCCTAATTTCGCTTCTACAAGATTTAGCTATTTTTGCAGATGGTTATCACGAGGTCTCGCTCAATCCAATCAGGTACGGCAAATGGATCAACAGAGCTGTTTATCTTGGTTTTCTGCCATGACCAAACCAGTCGAGTCGTGCTTGCAGCCTCGAAGGAAAAACATGAATGGGGTCATTGTTCTTCATTCCATAACATTTCAAAATCGATTCGATATGTTTGTGAGTTTTATTAAATGAACGCTGTACTTATTAGTTACGCACGGGCGACTGGACAAATTAGTTAGTTCACTGATAATTTGTTGTTCACTTTAGTCAAAAAATTTAAGAATTATTTGTTCCTGAACTAACAGCGAAGCAAAATTTTTTTTTTTTTTAACTGTGGTCATAGTAATTAGCTATGGAAAAAAATTTAAAAGCCATCCAAAGTCGGAAACTGGAAAAGGGAATGATATAAGCTGAGAATAGGCCGTTGCTTTTCCCACGCAAATTTAGTTGATCTTAACAAAGCCTTTATCATGTGATATCGTAACTCTTTAAAATATCACTCCGGAGACAGCGTAGCAAGGGCGAAGGTTAACGTAGGGCAGTATTCGATTCAAGTTTGTTGAAAAGTAACAGCGGAAAACTGAGATAAGAACAGCATGCTTTTAGTTTTTTATTTTCTTGTCGCTCGGGCCCCGTCCTTTGACATGAAAAATGAAAATGATCATGATTAGATTTCGACCATACAAAATTCTGCAGTGCTGAAAACTGTAATTTAGCCATTTAGGCAGGAGAGGGAAATATTCAGTGAAGCTTTTATTGCCATTTTATAGTGTTTTAATCCCATACTCATTCCTTACAACGAGAAATCGATCTGTTTATATTAAATCCGTCATAAAACATGGACTACTACCGGAGACGTGATAAGACTATAATGAACGTGTTAGATTCAGTCATCTTCCGTCTCTTAAAATAAACTGCCTGACTTCCCAAGTTAAAATAAACTGCCCGACTTTCCAAAAAATCTAAACACGAGGAAACACTAGAATCCCACAGCGAATGTTCATCATATGATCCAGGGAATTAATGAAAAAGTTTTTCAAAATCATTCCAGATCCATTTGGAAACGTGACTGTAAAACATTAGTTTAGCTTGCTTTTTTTCTTTTTTTTTTTTTTTTCTTGTTTCAACACAGGAAACTTTTCGCAAAACGTGTCATCCATTCAATCCTTTCTTTAAATTGCGAAACTAGCTAGGAATATACGTAAGTTCCGGATAGAAACTCCGGAATTCCTACTCGACGTAATTTTATTGATCACGTTTACTTATATAACATAACTCGAACTTTTTAACTACCGTTTGTCAATTCCAGGAATATTAAGAGACCTAAAACTTCCAAAAAAGGCAATTATTAGTCTACATATACGCATTCACCAAAAATTGTCTGTCATAATTAAGCTTTTATATCGCAACAGAACGTAAAAAATCTGTAAGTTGCTAACTTTAGCATACTTCTTTCCCACAACAGCAATATTTCTGGTCGTTGAAATGGCCTCTTTTCTTGAGGCGTTCACGTACTATGCTATGATCAAAAGGTCTCATTATGATTATAATATCAATAAAACAAACTATCTCTGGAGTCCTTAACTTTTAAGAGGCATAAAAATAACAGTTTTTCAAGCTAATCTTGAAGAGCACTCGTCTAACTTGGAAGAGCGAAGGGACAATCTGTTCAGAACTGAAGATATGTTACATCTCGGCACTCGCCAAAATACGCAAGGACTGACTCGGGCAGTGCGGAGTGAGACTTGAACTGATGATTCGGGCTTGTTTTGGGGACATAGTTACTCTGTATATTCGTTTTGCTAAGCACAAATCGCACTCCGAGTGGGCCATATTTATCGTCTCTTGATCTTAAGAAGAATGTCTGCTCAGGAATTTCAGGCCATCAGCATGATTTTTTTTTAGCTACACCTGTACTGGAACTTCATAGCCACTATTCGCAAGTAGATTGGCCGTCTGCGTCTAATAATTTTTCCGAAACACGGCTCACGGAAGGATTTCAGAGTCTATCGCTCCGGAGGAAGTGAACGATAAAATGAAACTCGTTCCGGGAGCCCACCCTGATGCCCTAACGTGACCAGGTTACAAACCTTGCATTGGTATGCGCATTTCTTCAATGAGCTCACAGCGAAAAGCTTCTTTTCAAAAAATTAACCAACCTTTCCGAGGATAAGATGGGCGCTGACTGTATAGCATTTACACTGTTTTCACTAACGAACTTGGGACTTTATCTCAGGTCGTATCGAGCCCATAAAGAACAGTTGTGTTGTTAAATAGTGCACTGTACCTTTTCATTAATTTTAAGCGGAAAAGCTTAAATTAGAACGTTCATTACTCTTCAAATAAACTGACATGTAAGGAAACGTAAGTTTATGTAAACCGTCACACTTTTAAAATCTTTCAATTATAAAATGTCCCGATTGTGCAAACAGCGAAAATTTAAAACAAATGTCCAGCCAGAGGTGACATCGAAACGTAGCCATTCGGCGTTGACAGAAAAAAACGGTTCTTAAAAGTTCTTATGAAAATACCAGTGATTGGAACAATTAGATTTATTCATGTCCTTTTTGATTAAACAAGTTTATAAGCTAAAACTGTCGTGATGTCATGAATGTATTCCGTACGTTTGCATGTTCGTTCACATCCATCATCGCCCCCTACCTACGCGGAAATGTTACTCATCCGAATACACCGGAAGCGTTTAAGGGTAGGTGTGGCGACAATGAATTGCTCTTCTTTTGTCAAACAAGACGGGAAACGATTCTTTGAAGGATTAAAAGTGCTAATGGTCCGTTCAAAGTAGAAACATACCGCGTTTGGGGCCTTTAGCTCGGGAGAGAAAAACGCACAAAAGCGGGTGCGTTTCTGTTACTTGAGAAATTCGGTAATTCAAAGCGGTGCATTTGTGAAGCGAAATTAAAAGTTTTCATCAGTAAAATTAGCAGTTTTGTGTGACTTTTATTATCACAAGTTTTTTTATGTTAGGTCTGGATTTTCTCACGGTCAAAGACTGAATTATGATGAGGTAAGCGTCGCTTTTGGCAAGGTTTTCATGTGTTGTCTGTTGGTGCGAATGAGAAGGTATTAATTTTCGAATGTACTGGAAAAATGATTTGACAAATCCTTGCTTGTGCGCTTCATCGGGTCACTTTTAATAAGAAATGGGCAATCGCACCTGATGACAGATTGAAGATTTCAAAAGAGAAAAACCTGATAAATCTCGTTGGGAGAAAAAGGAGTGTTATGAGTATCGAAAAACATGAAAAAAAAAAAAGAAAAAATCAGCTCTTGGCAAGCTCATAATAAGCATCCTATGGTGCCAAAAATGTAGATAATGATTTAAAATTGACATTGTCGTTGATCGCTCGCTAAATATTATCATTTTTTCCATGCCTGCTCTATGATTTATCTTAGCGTGCGAGTAAAAGTGAGTGTGACTTTCCAATGTTCGCCGCGCACTACCGTTGCATTAATACTAAAAGAGCGTCAAAAATTGCATCTCGCAAGGGAATCAAACGTACTTTGTAAATTGCCTCGACGATTCCACCATGGATGATATCGAAATTTTATCATTTAAGAGAGGTGCAACAAACTTTTTTTTACAGTGAGTGCATCTTGATGACTTCATCCCGAAGTTGTTCTTTTTTTTCTGTGTACCTCTTGTGTTTACGAATGTTTGCACGATTTCGCAAATAAATGTAAATTGACGATTAAAACCAAACCAATGAAGCGGCGGAAGTCATTTTGGGTGGAGGCAAGAGCTTACTATGCCACAACTGTGTCTAACAATGATAATTGTATCACTGCCTCTACGCCGAAACTTCAATGACTGCCAAACAGTTTTAAGAATATCCACTGCGAATAAAATCCCGGAATCACAGTTTTCAGTAAGGCTCGTAATTTGGTTATGGTAAGATAATTTGAGGGCCACCTAAGGACCGCGCTGATTTCTTAAACGTATAAAGTTCGCCAGCAGGAGCTTAAGTTTTCACACATTTTACTCAACAAAAGCTGGATCTGGTTACGAAGGAAGGAAACCTCATTTGTTTGTCTAGACATTTCAGCAGGATGGATTGTAACAAGGGCTTGCAAAGCAGACTATTTTTACCCTCTTCAATCAGCTTTTCTTTTCTTATGCAAATTGCGATGGCGTGCTGGTCAGTTGTCAATGAGTTCTCGTCGCTACGACCAGTTTATGAAGCCGGCTGTCGTCAAAATATCAAGGACAAACACCATTATACTATTTGTTAATAAAATATTTTATTATATGAGGTTTCGCCAGGAAACACATTGGTAACAATATTATGAAATATCACTGCTCTAATTTGGACAAAAAAATAAAGATATTTAGTTTACTCATGGGAAAGGGGTTCTTCACGCCTACATCGACTGCAAATCAAATGAATAATTCTGCCGGCGCAAAACACAGAAAAGTAAACATTCTTGCCATCACGCCGCTCAATTTTAATCCTTAACTTTGCTTACCACAGACGGAAAATGAGTGTGGCTTAATGCCAAGGAGGAAATGAAAACAAAAAACTATTAGGAAAGCCTTTCTGGTCCACATTTCACTTGGCGCCTTCTAGTTCCTGAGCAATTTACCGCCCCACTTGCTTCTCGAAACGGAGCGTTGTTCCATAGACATGAATTCCCCTTTCGGTTCGTTTTTTGTATCTAAAGAGATATATGCGTAACTATCAAAATGGAAACCGATATTTACACTGAAGTGAGACGCAAAATTTGTTGCTACGCTTATCGGCGATTCAAAGTTGTACTAAAAAATAAAAAACAAAACAAACTCGCAAACGCACCTTTAAAACTATATAAATCTGTGAAATAAACCTGCATTTAATACACTTACTAAAAAATTAAGATCGCTTCGTAGCAAAAAATAACCAAGTTTTTGGATCCAAAGTTAAGAAAGCTACCCTAATTACCTCAATTATGCCGTATGCTGCTTAATGAACCATTACAATTTTGCCTAACGCAGAAAAAACCACCCTTGATCATGTGTTAACCATTCTTGAATCTCGCCTGAGTTGTGGAAAGGCTCTCTAAGGTTACACGTAGCGTGCCCGATGCTTACCAAGTGCTGATTTTTGGGCGGATAAAATGTTAGAGTTCAAGTCTCGCTCACGATTAATCAGTGTTGATGTTTTGTCATTTCCTACGAACAAAAGACGATCTTGAGGGTGGAGTTGGAAATAGATCTTATTTTTTTCACACGCTACTGGATAACTATGCAAGATCAAAACGCCGAATAAGTAACAACAGCCGAGTTATTGAAGACTATGAAAAGTAATTTTGCGGGGACGCAAACATTTGACGCTACCATGAAAACCCTTATTAATCTCCAACTCTTATTTACAAGCAATTAAATCAAAAAACTATTATAATTTTACCGCAAAAAATTATACCGACTTTCAATTGTTTTTCTCTAGAATAACAGCATAAAGCCTTCCTATTTCGACTCTAGAGCCGAACTTTGTAGTTTCGGTGCGAAACAAGTTCTCTTATAAAAGTAAGTTACAATCTCAACCTTAATATTTACGCGTATGAAAAATGTAGAAAAGGGAAATAGTTTGATCGCTAACAAGCGCCTTTTTACTTACTTTTCATTCCGTTGAGAATAATCTAATGTCATTGAAAAATCCTTCTTATAAAACTATTACGTTGCGCAAAAAAATCCCGTCAAACTCAAAGCCAAGTCAAGGTCGGCGATATTAGCACGGATTCCATATCGTTTAAGATCTCCGAATTGAACTCTAATCCAACTCCAAGATCTTCGGTTTCCATGTTGGTGGAATTATCTGTTCCCTCCATAACACCTAAGTCGACATTTGTACCAGGCAAGCTGTCGAGGATCTCGGGTATCCTAGGATCGGCGCGAAAAGAAGTGTCCTTCGAGTTGTAATTCGCGTCAAACATCGGTTGCGAATCGTTCATATCGACGTCGTGGAACTGGTAATTACCACCTCCCATTCCGAGCCCGGAATCAAACGATTCATCTCTGATGTGTCCTCCGTTTGTTACAGGGGGATCTGGCGCGCTGAATTCTCGCGTCAAGTTTCCGAGAAGCGACGGTTTTCCACCTTCTTCTAGAATATCACGTTTCAATTTGATCTCTTGCTTCAAGAGTTCCTGCTGCCGTTTCAAAAGTTGCTCACGCTCTCTCTGGAGACGATGAAGCTGAAGGGTTCGATGGCCATGGCGATTAAAATCAGGAGGCAAGGTGGAACCGCGCATACTCTCCTGGTTTCTACAGTGCATCGCGAGTCGCGGGTCGATCCAGCTGGTTGTTCTTTCGATGTGGTTGATATAGTAAATATCACCTTCTGGTGTTATCGCTTGCTCCCAGCCATCAGGCAAATTGCCGACTGGCTGTACGCTGTTCAAATTTGAAGTTGACTGTGTTTTCCTTGGGTCTTGCCATGTCGTTAGCTGTTCGAAGTGACTGCGAGAGAGAACAAAAGTGTGATTAGTTTTACTATCACTGAAACAGCGTTTTTACTGTGTGTTACATCCGATTTGGCTACCCGCCATATTGAGTACCAAAGACACGTACATGTATAAGGAAAAAGATCATCATAATGGTTTTTAGAAATACACTAAAAAACCTTAAATCAATAGAATTTTATGCAAGAAAATTAGTATGTCTAATGGGACCGCTAACACTTCCAGCGCAGTAAGTTAACATAAAGAAATTTACAATTTTTGACTTTAGATGGCGTGCGTGCGTTTTAATATTTAAATGTGGTAATTTAACTGAAGTTGTGTTAAGACATTTACAATACATTAAACCACTGGCATTAGAGGATGTTAACCTATTTTCGCCTTACTTCATGAAGTATCGTTGGCCACTCGCCGTCGTTCTCATTTCCCACCCGGGCGGCATTGGAGTTGGCTCCTCAAGCAACGCCGTGTTATCGAAAGAGGTTGATCTCTGATGGTGGACGCCAGGACTCAAGGAGTGGTTTGGCGGGCCTTTTAGAGTCGTAGGAACTGTAAGCGACGCTGGCGATGAACGCGAATGCGAATGAGAGATTGGAAGCCTTTTTGGGACGTCATGATCGGGTGATAAGCCACCGTCGATTGGAGGTTGCTTGAAAAAAGACGGAGGAAGCTTCCTTAAACGCATCGGTAACGATTGCGACGATGCTGGCTCAGGATGCGTCTTCGCCACTGAGTTTTTGCTGACGACATGGAAAAGCGCCTCTAGGTCGTTATCGGAATCTTGTCTCACATGCACCACACAATTATTGTTCTTTCTCTCCATTGCCAGTGTTGTTTATAGCCTAACGTGGTGTGCTTGATACACTACGCCTTTGACGCATCAAATGGCAAACCGCTAGCGCCGTAATTACTCGGAACTGTTATGAAGCTCACTAGGGTCAGTATCGAGAAATATATACACATATATTATAGGCTATTATTTCCACTCATTGCGGGGGACCTGGTTTTCGGGTGGGACGTGACGTAATGATTAGCCTCGAGATTTGGTCGTCATACCAACTGTAAGAACTAACCAATCAGCTGGCGTATTTGAACAAACAATAGTTCATGAAAGGCGCCGCTCTGTAGGTCTATTTTTGTTAGCTACGTAACGGTTGTCGTTGGGCAGCGAGATTTAAAGCGTGGGTTTCTCTGTGGTGCAAAATCATCGCGCTCTCTGGGGCTTTCTAGAAGAGAGTTTATGACAGAATGGATTTATAGTGGTCACGCGCACGGTACGCAGCTCAAAATGTCGGCAAAAGCCTCGAGAGACCTTTGAAATGTGAATACTCCGCGGGGACTAAAATGCACGATACAATGACAATTACATGTAAACAAGACTTACTTGATATGCAGCTGTGTGATAAATATCGAGCTGTCTGTTTGTGTAAGTCTGTTTGTAAATTTGGCAAAGTTTTAAACAGAACAGAAAAAAAGGACGGAAATTTGGCCTATCTGGGCGGTAATGGTGACGGATAGTTTCGTGTTGTGTGGGGTTTCCGTGTACTCCTTCTTGCGCAGTTTCTGCTGACTGGGACATCACGTAGCACTGAAATTCCGGGGGGGTGATGTGTAAACAGGTATCACGTCTTGTTGTTTTGCTTTTTATATTCTCGCGAATTGACAATGAACTTTAATCCTTTAAACACCGCTCGTGCATCCTGCGATGTCCCTTTTTTTTCTTTGTTGATTATTTTTCGTTTCTTCATCCCCAGAGATCTCTTCTTTACCCACGAGTATTCAAGACTCTCCCCCCTGTGAGACATGACGCCGTTCGTCTCACGTATACAATGAGTGACACTCAGCTTTATTACTGACAGCTCAGCGCACCGGAAGTCGCATTGTTTCTTAAGAGAAATAAAGGATGGCCGTCTGCGTTTGAAACCCGAAGCTGTTATTACACAGCTCTAAAGGTTTTGGCTAAATTTTTATTGGCTAGATGGTTTCTTTCAATTTTCCACAACACCGACCGCTTGATAAGACATTTGTTGATAACGGGATGGAGATTTTGGCGATAACCCCCAGTTCAGAGGGTCGAAGGTTCTTATTTTTCAGCCGCAGGCTACCACAATCTTGATAACAACAACCTTGCTATCTCAACGTCGATTTGCTCGCTCGATTGCCTCTTCCTCTGAACTGTTAAACGCCCTGTGGACATATAATAAAAAAAAACGTAGCAAATCTGCCAAAAAGCAGGCACACGTTCACTTCGCAGCAGATCTTTTTGTCACTCAATTCTTGTTTCTTGCGAAATAGAGGTGGGTGGTCGAGCATCGTGTCAATTTGTTTGTGGAACAATGTGCCTTTGAAAAAACACGCAAATTTTCTCGCGAAAACGCGCCATAACAAGCGACATCACGCGATCCTTAGGAGGTTTCAGTCGCCAGACCGCTCCACGAATTTATTCTTCACTGATTCAATCATCCTCTAATCCATTTTCCACATCCGCGATTATAGTTAATTTTGCACGCAGAGCCGCCAGTTGAACTCCTTGTTGTTTTCCGCATAGAGAGGAGATAGAATGAAAACAGACTCCCACTGTTTTAAAGAAATGTGCAGTCATGTAGCTTACGCATGAAGAAACAGTGTGTAAGCCACAGCCAGTGATTTAACATCTGCGACAACATCTAAAATGATAGATTTCTCTTATATCTCACTCAAGAATTTCCCGAGTGCAAAATTAAGACCTGTGCATCTTTGACGCAACGATGCAAAGAAGGCCTTGAGAGTGTAACTTACATCAACCATAAAACTTTGGAGTTTGACGGAGCCCTTCTATTCTGTGTCATGATGATTAGTCAATTTCAGGAAATTGAACTGTTCTTATACGAAACGTGCAATACGTACAATTTGATTAATTGCTTATTCAAAATCGAACGATTAAACTGTTTTCTACTTAATCAGTATACAAGAACGTTCCCCTCTATTTCCGGACGCGGGGAAATAAGTAACTGAAACTCAGCCACGGAAGAAGCGACGGTCCAGGTTGTTCGATCGAAAGACACCGACTAACAAAACGCCAATCGAACCGTGAAAGTCTGCTTATTTCTGCTGGTAAGGCTCCTGTTTCTTTCAACTCTACGAGCCAAAGCTTAGTTAAGAAGTCAACAATTTTATTTACCCATTACTGATAGAGGTAAAATTTAGATCTCGAATCCTAGTTTCTTTGCACTCTAAGAGAGGAATCTGTGATAAATTTTAAGCTCTCCCTTAGTTCCAAGGAGCCGAGATGGCTTGCAGTTTTTGTTATAGCAACCGTTTTATTCCCACGATCCCGTGAAAACCTTTAATCTGTTAACAATACATGAACCAACAGTAATTGTCTTACTGTCACGAACGGAAGCTGTATGAACAAAAGCAGTCTTCTATACTTTTAAATGTCTTGGAGATTGTTACTAACATAACCTAATCTAGAAGGACTTATCGAACAGAAATCACCAGCATTCATTTTCCGCAAAGAGCTTCAAATTTCACAGGTGTGATCATTAAATTTTCGTCATGTTTCTGTGATTTCTCAGTTCTTCATTTCTTATTATCGACAAACCCGCTTTGTTTCGACAGGAGTTGATTATCTATAAGATGTCTCATCTGTCAAGTGTTGGTTTTTGATGCCGGGTAATACAAGAATCAAAGATCGAGGGAGGCATTTTGGCAGGGAATTGTGTTCAATTATCATAAGTTGGAATCTGGCCCAACTTCAAATTAATGATCTGGCCGAGTTCAAATGCTTCGTTGTAAATAAATATTGCGTTGGCAAACTCAATATGGCAAGGTTAAAGGTCTCTCATCACATTATTACACAAAGGAAAAACATTTGAGATCCCACACGGACAGCGAGAAAAAAGAGAAAAAAGTTTCATGATGACCAATTTTATGCATTCGTTTTCTTTTCGCTCGCTAACTTTTTGTGACGGAAACTGATTGATCATGCGAAGCATGGAGCAAGCTGTATCAACGTCCATGGCAGCAGTGCAGTATCTTACAAGAGCAAACGCGCGACTGGCACTTCTCACGGAAAACTAATATCACAGCTGATAAATATACAGATGCAGACAAACCTGCTTGCTAACCAACTAAACAGGCCTCTTCACTGATACTCAGTCTTCATCTAACGACGAAAAAAACATCCAGCTGTTACTTGCCGATCAACGTGAAATTCGAAATTTTATCATTTCACCTGCAAACTGTGCAAAGCTGTGCAAAGCTGTGCAAAGCTGTGCAGTCGTAGCAAATACAGTTGAGCAGTATTGCGCAACATCTGTACGGCACGTTTTTGCCCTGAAAAATGTTACCTCAGCTCAAACAAATAAAACACATGCAACCAAAAGTTTTTTATTTTGGTTAGGACGGAAAAAACAGCCGGCAACGTTTTCGCTGCCTTGCTGCAATTGAGGAAAAAAAAAAACGATTGTAAACACGTGTTCCCGATATATTATGAATATGATAAATCCTTTTTTTTTTTCGACTTCCAGCGCAAATCTTTTCTCCTTCCCGTCAAAACAGTACAAAATCTCTGATCTGCAGAACATCATGACCTGTTATCAAACGAGCAAGATACGGTTTTAATCTCGGGCGAACCTTCCCATACGATATGACCCATAGAGAAGTTAAGAGTGCTTAGTCGGGGTTTTGACTCTTTGAAGAGATTTGTTCTGGCGTATTCTTAAGTTGCGGATCTACAATAAAAAAAAAAACTCGTTTTTTTTCCCACCGATCAAAGTAAATCCAGTTTGGTGGAAAGACGGGAAAATAGTCACTTTTAATCACGGTTTTTTTTTTTTTTTAACCTTTCGATTTCTTGGGAAATCACAGGTTATTCATATCAGAAAAGGCCCACACTGCTGTCTATTGAGTTCATCCGTCGCCGGGTTATACTGCAGCTGCAGGCTGAGTGTACGCGCCTTGCCATGTTAATAGGTCACATGCACCCCTGCAAAGAAAAGCGTAAGTCGAGAATTCAGTTCACAGCTCAGGAACATCGGCTTATTGTCTTAGTCAGACTCTTGATCTAAGAAATCTATTAAACTATTAAAAACTTTTGACGCGTCTTTTAGTTAAAAAAATACAAAGCTGGACTATAAAACGCTGAGTGCGGATTTTTCTTCCAATAGATTTTGACGACAGCTGGCCTTTTGATCGAGAAGTAGATTCTAGATGGCGGCGCTGACTTGTATTTTGATATTCTACATGAAACGTAAACCAAAGTATTGAATTGTTTTGACCTCTGCTAGCATCGAAACGGGGCTTCTTTGGGGATTCCCGGTCTCAAACAGGAACTCCACTAAGTTCCAACATGTACACATGCAAATTTTAGCAAACAACACCCGTGATTCAAATTACGATCCCAATCCCCGAATAAGCATTGAGAACTTCGTTATAGTGGTATATTTTTCATGTACTTGAAAAAGTTTGCTACCCTTTAAGCCGACTTCTAATCTGAGTTCTATTCCAAATCTTTCAAATATTGAAAACAAAAGGAAACGCAAGCCAACTTCGCCTTACTGTTAAACACTTTGAGAATAACCCAGCTTTTGGAGTTTAACTGGACGGAGAACAACATCCATCGCCAATAAAAAATTAAAGTAATTTTGATTGTCTCATTAACATGCCTTTTAGCTTTGAAAGGATCGGATCGCAAGATCCTTTGTTTGGTAAAAACTATGAATGTGATGATTTTGGAAAACAATGAAAATTTGGACGCATTAGTTGTTTTTTTTTTTTTTTTTTTAAATATATCAAAATCTTGTGCTGACTATAATCGACTGAAAACATCGATTTCTTCACATGACCGAATGATGTGATCGGCATTACCTCTGATTATGCAACACGGGAAGTATCATTTATGAAATCACTCTTCTGTTATCTTTAGTTTACGCATGAGTGTCTGCACGTTCAGTCAATGAGTACTTGAAATATCACGCGAGCGTATCAGTAGACCATTAAATTATTTGAAATTGCACGTTTTGTTATGTTACTGACGTATTATTGACTAAGTTATTTGGGGAAAAAAAACGTATACAACTCCTGATTTGGACGTCTAACATAACAAAAAAAATTTAGTTCTCTTAACTTTTCGAATAAAATTTTGATAAAATGCAATGATCTCATGCTGAAAGAATTTAAAGAATGCTAATAATACAGTTTGAAGTTTATGCGTTTTATTGGGTAAGACTACATAACGCGAAAGATATTCTAGGAAGTTATGTGGAGATACTAAGACGATCGAATAAAATCTGAAACTAGACTTTTCTCATATTTCCTAAATTTTTCTACATAGGTGTACACTGTTTTAATTTTTTTACCAAATTACCTCCATTCTTATACTTTCGCAGTATTTGACACGGGGCCAAGATATCCGTTGGTTGGTGTTAAGTTTGATTTCCTTTTTTGATAAAAACAGGCACTACCTTGTTCGGTGAACAACATCAGCAAAGCTGGTAATATGATAAATCTACGGTGCCAGTTTTGGTTTTTCTCTAACAAATAAAGAAAAATGTTGGATTCTGTACAGTCTGTTAAACAAAGAGCTGGTGCCAGTATGGTATCAAGTTATGTTGCATTGTCCGTTAACTGTTCGCAACACTATATACTGATGTCTTGTACATTTGTTGCAAGATTTCCCAGTCAACAGGAAACGAAGCCTTTGCCATACAAACGTGCCGCTCAAACTAGCTGAAAAACCAAGATTGCTTTTCTTAAGCAGACGTTAATTTAGTTTTTTTCCAGCCTGCGAGAGCAGCCTCCTTTTTCCGAGAGTATATGTTTTGGAACGCTACATATATCAAGGTTTTCAGGGTCTAGACATTCGATTCATGGTCAAAAAACTTAAGTAGGTCAGCTTTTCACATTTTTCATGGAGAAAACAAAGCACTTATGCGAAAACCGTTAACTGTTTTTTGAGCCGGAAAGAAGATAGTAAAGCAACTCTTGGGCAAAGACTACTTATCTGCCTGGAATGTTGAGTAATCAAGCTAACGACGCTAAGAAGATGGTTCAGTAAAGAAGTGAGTTCCCCAAGTTCACACGTAAAAGTATCTTCTCGCCCAGCATGATGTCTAAGCCTGTTTTGAAGGAATCTATGGATCGGAGCAGAAACAATTCAATTGACCGCCTCGCGTCTAGAACAGAGGGTATCTTTCGAGATCAAAAGTCTGAAAAAGAACATGCGCAAGATTGTTGAATGCGCGGTCCATGATTCGCGCAAAACTAATAATTTTCTTCTTATATTTCAAAATACTGTTTCTGTTTACACATGGCTTCATAGGGTTCGCTACAGAGATTTCACAATCTTGATGCCTCGAACAAGGTAGCGAACTGAAATAAAAGGAGTTTGTCTGCGAATGACATTATATTAACTTGACTTGATTTGTCTGAAATGAATTTCCGAATGCGAAGCGCTCTTTAAGATTCGTTGTTTGAGAGAGTTGTCCGTCTTCAAGATATTTAAGTAAAAGTTAAAATTACGAGCTCCGCCGTTAGGGTCAGTTTGGCCTGAGGTTTACCTTCTGGCCAGCGGTAATATTGGCAACGAAGCTCAGAGTCGCGTTGGGGACCCTGGGAAAGAGGTTTACCCATCATGCACTAGGAAATAACCAAAATGGCGGACGAAGAGAAACAGTTCACCTTCCAGTTTGTTCCAAACAAAACTTTCCCAGGTTTTGAGTCTTCAGATGTTAAAGAACTCTTTTCGAAATGGTACAATACGAAAGCTGCCATCCTATCTAGATGTTTTTCACTGTTTATTGTGGCAAAATAACGGTGCCGGAGTAAATTAAGTCGTTTGTTTCAGCCCATTCATAATCTCATCTATCCCGTTTTTCAGGGGAATGATAACGAGAACTAAGGTTCAAATGTTCTCATATGATCAGTTATTCCAAGCTTACCAGAAAGATAAATTTGTGATGGTAAGTTGGATTGATGAGAAATATTTGTCCCAGCATTAGTAAAAACAAAAAAGGCAGGTGCATTTGCACTGCTAGTATTAGTTTTGAGTCTGTATGCTTCCATTTTCACTATCTGAATCATAATTGTGCAAAAATTTGTAACAAAATATTCCAATACAATTCAACAGTATCAAACGTATGCAGAGGTCTTTGGACCACTTTCGAATTACATTATTTGTACATATACCATTGCGAAAAAAAAAAAAAGCGTTACCTGTAACTATGGCTTGACACTACCGGGTACCGGTGTGCAATGTTTTAATCCTGATCACCCCAACATCAGTGTGCATATACACCACTTTCATAAATGGCTGCTGTATAAATATTCTTTAGTTTAAATTTAAATTAGCCCTACTGGCCTCGCTTGAGATAATGTATTCTTTTGAATTTTGTACTGGAGAACGAGGCCAGTAGGGCTAATTTAAATTTAAACAAAAGAATATTAATCTGGCAGCCTTTTATGAAAGTGGTCTATTCTCCGTACTGTTCTCTATACATTTCCTAAGGTGCTGACAAGGAGAATTTGTTTAACAATCAAGAGCTTCTTGAGTTGGTGATCATTTCCTTTATTCTCCTGACCTGGGTGTTTGTTTGAGAGGTGATATTATTAGGAGAATTTAGATGCCAGTTGCTCATAGGGGATAAAGGGTTTAGAAAGGGCAATCAAATCTATTATACATTAAGACACCACTGTTATTAATTTATGTTTATCTTTTTTATCATTATTATTCTTTTAGTTGTTATTTAAGATATTGAAATGAAAAGCTTGAAATTTCCCCAAACTTTAAATCTTTTGAAATCAACAGGACTTTTTTCAAGATCCTGCTGTTTTATCAAGTCTACAGGTTAGTTACTTTGTCACATCTGTATTTTTTGTTAGAAGATGAAAAACAAAAAACAAGTTTTGTTGCACATGTAAATTTGACTCAGAGGACACACCTTTGGGGTTAAAGACCAAGCTACATTGACAAGGAAGAGGGGAAAGTATTTTTTCATGTTGCACAGAAAATTTTTGAAAAGTGAAGCTGTCATATGTCTACCAACTTATTATCAATAACTTTTTTCTGTGAGCTACATCAACAAGGAAGGGGGGAAAGTATTTTGATGTTGTGCAGAAAATTTTTGAGGAGCAAAGCTGTCATGTGTCTGCCAACTAATTGTCAAAAGGTTTTGTCTGCGATTGCATGCAAATCTGTTATAGATAGTTAAAAAAAAGATAACTTCCAATTCTGATGGTCAAATTTTATCTCCAGAATCTCCAAAAAAATTACAAGGGTCATAAACTGTAGTACTGAAAACTAGAATGCTGTTTTTTAATGTTTTGCAATAATTTTTTTTGTACAGAATCCTCATGAACTACCTGTATGTAATTGTAGTTACATATATATTTTTCCTACAGATTTGGTCATTTATCTGTTTTATTTGTTTTTTGTTTTTGCTTAATTGTATATTTTAAATTCATTAGTTACTTGTTGCTGTTTAGGTTGCTTCTTCCTCCAATTCATGGGGTCCTCTTGGTGAGTAGTAAAATGGATGAAAATTCAGTATTAAAAGTAGTCATCTCTGTATTTCTGCAGCGTTCAACAGTCTTTCTTTTTGTGTCAGGTATCAGACCGTCATCTGTCACAGCAGAAATTGTCTCTTGTGCAGTCACATCTATGGATTTTTTTGACAGGCTACAAGAACAAGGTGAAGATTTAATTTTTTTAGGAGGAACCCAAAAGGAATTTCTTCTCACAAAGTCAGTACATTTTCAAGCAGAAAGTTGATCAGAGAAAGAAAAATATCACCTAAGAGATAAAGAAGGGTTTACTAATGTACTATTGTATGCAGCCTATTTTAGGCCAAAGGGGCGCAGACTGCCTCTGACAGAATCTGGCCATGTGGTTTTGTAAAATACACACCTTCTCCTGACATTGTGTATCTGTCATGTAAACATGCATGTTAGTATAGGTAATCGCATGGGGCCGAGTAAAATTAAGGATTAATATCACGTGTGTTTTCGTAAGTTGCTGAAATTGCCCAAGTCGCGCAGCGACGAGGGCAATTTCTGCAACTTCCGAAAACACAAGTGATATTAATCCTTAATTTTACGAGGAACCATGTGATTACTTGTTTATAATATAAGGGGCAAAATGTTTTCTTACTGATCTCGCGCAAAACGGGACGCCGTTGTTACAAAACAAACAGAAATTTCTTTACCTTGGCAGCTGTTGCTAAGCGATTTTCAGCCAATCATTTTCAAGTAATTTTGCCTGGGGCAATTACAAAAATTAAGAAAAAATGCCCTCTGTCTTGACCAATCACAATTCAGTAATTTTGCCCCTTATATTATAACAATTGTAACTAGCTCTCAGGACATTGTTTAAACTTTGCTTGCTGCATTTATTCCATTCAAACAAGCTTAAAATCATATTTCCCCAGTTATTTGTAGGACTCCTTCATCGCCACATGTATAGCTAAATAAACAAGTTAGAATGAGAAGGTTGTTTCTTCAGATATTAGTTTATTTAAGCACCAATATCTTCGAGCCAAAATTAAAGGAAATGAATTGTGGACAGTGCAGCAAATTGATTTTTATATCTTGATAATAAAATAGTTAAAAAGGTCATTTCACCTACACTCCACATGCATTGGGTTTCACTTGATTACTTTGAAACTAAGTATGAGCATTGCTTTTAATTCAAAAGGTATTGTGAGAGAATCAGGGAACATTAAAAAGTGTTTTGATGATTACTTCGAAGACTACGTTATTTCTGATGAGCTTAGAAAAGTAAGTATATCCCCAGTAAACTTCTTGCAAACCAAGTAAATGTGTGTAGTTTGAGGAGAGGTCATCATCACCAACTCTAATGCTTCAATATTGAACCAAGTTTGTCTTGCCAGAATATGAAAAAAAAAAAAAAAAAATACAGTAGCGTAAACCTGTTTCACTCTCTGAGTCCCTGAACATGAGTACAGGAGTGGGTGGACTGAAAATGGGTGCTCTAAGAAGAACAACACACAGGCTTTTAACCTCATTTCCATTGATCAAGAGTCTGGAACAATACAGGCTGCAGTTGCAGTTACAGACAGTAGTTCTTTTTGCTTAGGCCATTATACCTTCACACTGACTGGTACACTATTTTGGTTTTCACATAATTTACTGCTGTACATGGAAGCCATCACCACCTACTACTGTTCTTGAACCTGACCCTCAAAGTTCTGTGTGGTGCACATCTGTCAATATTTTCTCCACTGAATTTTTTGACGTGCATGAAAGACTTAACTGAAAAGGAGGGACTGCTCACAGTTTACTTGTATCATGGTAGAGAACTAACTAATAAGTATTTAGGCAGCTTTCCTTTATTGGGGAGGATGAAACACTTTCTGGCTTTGTAGTTTATTTTTAATTTTTTTGCCATCTCACTCTTTAAAATTTTCCTTAGTGGCATATCAAGTACAGTGCACATGCATGTAAAAAAATTAATGAAAAAACAAATGTAAATAAATAAATGTAAAGGCTTGTTGGCTTTGACTCATCAGGTCTTACTTCTTGAAGAAGCTGAAACATATGCATTATTTAGCGATGCTGATAGAAATGAATTCATTTTCCTGATTTTCAAGCATCTTTGTCTTGGAGGGCAAGTCTGTCAAGTGAGTTTATGTAGTTATCCCTGTGCTAATAAACTTCTTTTGTTTCACGTTGGAGGTCAACCTAGTCGCCCTGCTTTGCCATTGCAGTTCCTTTACTACGATCCTTTACTATCAAAATTATCATGCGCCACACCAGTTCCTTTTCTTTTAGAATGTGATGCTTTAAGTTTTCTTTTTCGTTTTGCATAGAGAGATTAAAAAAACGAACCGAAAAAAGACTGTGCAGCAGAAAGTTTTTAAAGTCATTAGTGTTTCTTTTTTTTTTTTCCTCTGGAACGTGATCCTCGCTACCTTAACTAGATACTCTTCAACTTCATTGGGCGTTCCTTTTGTTGTTTTATAACGTGAAAAGTATAGAGGTATAAAAGTAAAGAACGGGGAGGTCGAGGCCAGGGCAGGGAAGTGTAATTTTACCGCCAATTGAATGTTATTCTTCAAGCTGGTTTGTGCAGACATTAAACTAACTTTGCCTGTTTTTAAATTATGCGAATTTATCAACTGAGGTGATAATGTAAATTGGCCACCGTGAAAAGTCCCAAAGCTTACCTTACGAGCGTTAAACCTTTGTCAGAGCGGAAGATCGAGAAGTTTGCTCAGACAAAGGGCTAACGCTCGAAACGTCAGTTTTAGAACTCCTTACGGTGGCTAATTTACAACTATTCACCGAAGTGCTGGTTTGCTCAATTGGTTAGAGCGCCGGATTATGTTGTGCGGGAGTTCGAGGGTTCGAGCCCAGGCCGAACCAATACTCATGGTCTTAAAATAACTGAGGAGAATTTGCTACCTTTCTATAATCAAGAAATGGATAGATAATCTAGTCTTCTCGGATAAGGAGGAATAAARCGTAGGCGCCGTCTCCTGCAGGGTTAGGGGTAGGAGACGTTTATTTCCCACGCACGAGATTACTGTGTGGGGGATGTCCTCCCCTGGGTGGGATGGGTGGGTGTTGGCCCTGAAAAGCCCCTATGGGGAGTGGTCAATTAACCTATGTATTATGTATGTATGTATGTATGTTTATGTATGTAGGTAGGTAGGTAGGTAGGTAGGAAGGTAGGTAGATAAGTACGTACGTATGTATATTTATGTATGTATATCCACCCCTAACCACCTACACTGAGGTGAATAGTTGTTTTAGTAGATACTAAAACGGTGAGATAATATACACCACCAAAAATTGATTTGAGTGATTTCTTCGCTTGTCACGGATGCAAACCGGGACGCCATTTTTTCCCGAGTTGCTCGGAGGTAAATAGCAAAGGATATTCGGAGTTTGACTAGCCAATCAGAGCGCACTTTCAACACTATCCACTGTTTTAGTATATACTAATTTACATTATCAACTTGGTTGATAAAAAACAAAATATCTTGGTATACCCTCACCGACGCAGCAACACAGTTTCTATAGAAACTTACTCCTTTTTATCATTTACCTTGTTGCCTTTCTTTTAGTATGAAGATGACATAAATCCTTATCTTGAAACGACCAAGATAATTTACAAAGATCTTTTAAGGTAATGGGGAACCGGCATTGTTCAAGTTTGAATGTGTATAGAAAAATGGCAGGGATGGTGCGCGAGGCTTTGATCAAAAAATTTGGAGAACCCCTTAAAACGGATTGAAAGCTGCTAACAACAACGGTTGGTATCAAAGCTTTGCGAGGAAAATAACTATTTTCTTTTCTCCCCTAAGATAAGTTTGTTTAACCCTTTACCTGACACCCCAACATCAGTATGCATATTCTCCATACTGTTCTCTATACATTTCCTAAAGTGCTGACAAGGAGAATTTGTTTAACAATCAGGAGCTTCTGTAGTTGGTGATCATTTCTGTTATTCTCCTGACCTTGTTGTGTGATTCAGGGGTGATATTGTAAGGAGAAATTAGATGCTAGTCACTCTTACAGCTCAAAGGTTTAATTTTAAAGTCCTATCACAGCTCTTGTCTCCTTGTCTTCCCTTGCAGTGTCTTCAAAGACCCAACCACAAAAAAGCTACAAGTAGGATCAGTTGTGCTCAAAGTTTCCGCACAGGTATTGCTTGATGTCTTATTGAACTTAATTGACGGGGGGGTCACCGATCACTTTGCCGACACGTTAACTCGCCGTAACCTTTGGGTAACTCGCCAACACCACTGGTCAACTCGCCTCTAAAAGCAATCTCGCGGTAAGGTCGTAGAGATAACACAGAGAGTTTCCGGATGTACTTTTTAAGTACCATCGCCATGATTGTAGGCGGTTGGGAGACTAAGAACTCGCACCGGTCAAACAGAATCGACACAAATGTAAATGAAAATCAATCTCGGATTAAGCTTTCTATATATGCTTAAAACTAAAAAGAAGGTTGACCAAGTATATCCGCGAAGAGACTTAAGGATGTCGGCGTAGTGACCAGTTTATCTATCAGATTAACAAAGACGACTGTCGGCGAGTAGACCAAAGATGTCAGCAGGTTGATGTGTTGGCGAAGTGACCGGTACCCATCGGTCCCATTGAGAGCCGCAGATTATGGCTCGAATGTTCTGAGAGAAACGTAAAAATAAATCGTGAAAAGGTTGTACTTTTTCATCATGAGGAAGTAATTCTCGTTTGTGTCGTTTGCCTCCGATGTGGATCGCATGATATCTTCTGTTTCTGTCTTTTTTTTCGGACTACAGGACGAAGACGGTTCGCAATTATATCCTTCACTTACGCCACACGATCAGTCCTTTGCCTATATGTGCATCAACCCGCTGAAGCGACACGTTTACATCTGGTGTCACTCGTGGAGATGATGTCCACCTTGGTTGAAGCTACACGTTAACATTTGGAGTTAAGCTCCTAACGCTTTGAAGACAACTGGAGACGAATTAGTCATCGTCGTGTGACCGTAAGGATAGGCTAGGGACGCTCTAACGGCCTTGGTTCTCTTCACCGTCTAGAATCGACTGCCCACGCACTCCGCCCTTGTTCTCGCGCCTTCGCTCTAACTAGACTCAAGGAAGCGCTTCATTCGCTGTTGCTGGGCTTACACCAGACGGGGTTTCTACTGGTTTAAGATAAGAGAGGTTGCGTTTGATGTTCACACTTACCTGCGCCAACCGTACCAAAGCCGTTCAAAAACTAGAACTCCACTAGTGAGGCAGAATTTTTGGGTGGCAAGGTCAAGAATTCAATTAAGAATTTAACCAGCAAGGTGATAAGACCAGGATCGTCCACTTTGTTGCATTATAGAGATGAAGTTGCATGGACATGCCAATTTATAATTTGATGAAGAGCGTTCTGCATATAAGAAGACAGTAGGGACATTAAGCAAACCACGACGGCTACGGCAACGAGAACGTGGAAAAACAATAGATCTAATTGACAGAACAATCGCCCAGCGCGTGCGTTTTAAAACTTTGTGCATTTCTTAGCCGTCCTTTGCAAAACGACAACGTGAAATCACCGAAATTTGCGTCGTCTGCGAAGCGAAACCGCGGCAGCAAATTATTTTAATTTCCATTTGGAACTCAACCCTACTCTTATGCGTTATGTTGAGTTTGAGGTCTGGCGCCCTATAAGACGGTAAACACGTGCAGCCATTTTCGAAATTCTAACTAAACGTAGAAACTGATTTTTTAATCGACGTCTTCCGTGGCGTTGCCGCCCTGACTGCTTAAAGTCCCAAATAAAACCAGTACCTTTCGCTCTGACCAAGGGCTAACGCTGGAAACGTCCGCTCTGAGAACATTTTACGTCAGTTCCGTGTGAATAGAGTGAATACACGTAGATTGAACAACTCGTTTTGATCAAAATGCATGGTTAACTCTTTCTGAATCGCTTTGAAATCTGTTCTTACTTTAAACAGAGAGCATAGTAATTTAATGTTTGAGTTAAATAAAGTGTGTAAGAATTTTTATCCTTTGTTCACTATTCAGATCCTTCAACGTGGTGGTGGCAGAGAACATTTGCAACAGGATCACAGAACATTTTTACACGTGTATATATTTACGAGCCTCAGTGGAAGCGAATCGCAATAGTCCATTTTACAATTGTGTGCTTGTTTGCCAAGCCTTTGAACGGGAGTGAGGCTAGGGATGACCTTGTTATGATACAAACCTTGCTGCCTTTCAAATGTAAATCACTTTGTTATCATGCTAACTAGATACAGGTCTCTATCACAACAAGGTCATCTTTAGCCTCATTCTGAATCAAAGGCTAGGCAACTAAGTACACAACTGTAAAATGGCCTATTCTACATGTGTTTTGTTCTGATCTGATCTCACGTCAACCCGCTTTGCGATATCTCTACTCGTGACGCATTTTATTGTCATGTGAAGGCGCAATGAACAGTGATTACAAAGAAACAACTTTTTTTCCTATTCTTGACCAGAAAAGATCGCGGCAGTAAGTTATTGCTGTTGCGATGAATGACACTAAAAGTATGCATGCCTCTGGAGTGGCAACTTCCAGCTATAATCTCTAAGTTGTACTTCTTTAAAATTCCAAGCATTATAAAACTCTTCTTCATACTCCCCAGAAACAGCCTTCGGCGCTTAACTAATACGCAGCCACCTTATAGCAACAATACTGGCGCGAGTCCCCGTTAGATCAGTGATCCATGGTTTAAGTGAGGGTATCTTATTACCAGTGAATGGCTGATGGAAATTGTAAGAAAGCGGCTTCAACAAAGCGATGAATTTTAAAAAATTTTAAAAGTTCAAAGAAAGCCAGTGGGTAGTAAATATATGATCGTCAGGCTTATCCGTCGAGGTGGACTCACAGAACTAAGTTAAGAAAATCTGTCATTATTCGACAGAATATTGTCGTTTTTCTGTTAAAATGAAAAAAAAAATAGTAATAGTAAAGCCAATCGTGGTCAGAAATGTTCATTCTCAATTCGTGACATTTGATTGCTCAAAGTTGATAAAACATAATGTCCGCTCGACGAGCTTTTTTTAACGTAAGGCTTCGTAGTTAGTAGCGCCAGGTGTGATAAGCAGTATATCAATGAACATGAACGAAACATTATTAAAACTTTTTTTGTAGTCATTAACCACTATAATCAAGTGATGCCGGCGTTGGTTCAACATTTTTTCCTCTGCCTGAGCTTGGGTTCAAGAGATTATAAATATTCTCTTGTAAGGTTTTTGTACCCACAAATACATAAGCCCGATCAAACTGAATGAGTACTAAGGTGCATTTGCAAACTACTCGGGAAAAAGAAACAGATTTCTTTCGACGACTGGGCTGAGCCTTCTGAACACGCAAGGCGTCGCGATACTTGCATTCGATCAGAGAAGTCGAAGCACACCTGTTGTGTTGTGTTAGCTTCGAATATCCCGTATACTTGTCCAAAAAGGAAAATTCTGCTTCAAAAATCATTATATAGACTAGATAAATCATGAAATAATTTCAACGTGGAAAACCAGCTAGAATGGCCCCCTTTCCCTTTTTTGCTTATTTCACTTCATCGTTTACTTAACTCCCGCGGCAAATGTGTGGCCGTTTACTTGTAACAATTCATAGAGGGGCCCTGGCTAAATAAATGCTCTGTGTTTATTGTTATTCTAATTACAAGCGAATTTTTGACAGCGGAAGAAATCTCCCTAACAGCACCAACTGGATGGAGTGAATATAGTTAGAGATTCCTTCAAAACTGTTAGCCTCAGAGAAGGTAGTTTCATAAACCATCGACTGGTTAATCCGTTGAGTGAAACTCACCGTCAGGAAAATTTTCCTCTGTGTCTTGGCTATTCTCCTAACTTCTTTTAATATAACATATCAACATATTCGCACGGAACATTTTCTATTGCGTTAAATTTCATTTTACGAACTTATTTGAATGAAAGATATTATAAAAATATGTTTAAGTATCTACACAAAACTCCAAAGCAACTGACTATATACACAAACTAAAAAACGTGCCGTTTAACTGTAACAAAGCAACTTATTAATTGTATGGTTCTGTTAGGAGGTAATTTTCTAGTTCAGTTTTCCGTTACTGTAAACAAATTATGATCGCTTAGCGTGATTGTTCCCAATGCTGTCAATTCTTGCTTAGTTTTTATCTTTTTCTTTTAAAAAACGTCGCATTAGTCAACTTTTTTCTGACTTGCATTACAACATTCTCGGCTCCGCATTTCTTGTCGATTGTCCTCAGGAGCTATTTCAATTTCTTTTTCCTTCGCCCTGAGGGAGAAAAAAACCATCGACATTGAATTTTTTCTGCCCAAAACAGTTTCCAGGTAAAATATCACTGCATAATAAATCTTTGACTTCTGATAAAAACTGTCAAAAATAGATATTCTGTTTGTAAGAAAACATACTCTCTTCCTTCCACGGCAGAATTTCTTTCCATTCTGCACCATATTCCACAACTAAAGTACAGCACTTGCTGCAGCGAATGAGCATGGCCTGAGGGAAGGCGACAGGTGTTTTTTCGCACAAAATTTCACCACGACATTTTTCACCATATCAGTACACTGCTACCGCAGATCGTTAAAAAATACGTAAATGAAGATAAACAGGCTTCCCGTGAGATTCGATAAAAATATGAACATTCTCTCATAGCTACATTATTTAATTTTCACCTTGACAATAGCGCGCTAATGCAATCGTCCACGCATATTACATTTCCATAGTGAAGCCGCGACCACACCTATTTCAAGTGCCTATCTTATGTAAATCTACTTAAGACATGAATTATGTTGTTAGAGCATGCTCTTTTCCCAGCAAGAATGTTGTTCTAATTGTTTTGAGAGTTCGCTGATTGGTTAACAAGCTATAAGTAATTATCTGTTTAAATCATCATTTATTACTTGTTAAAAGAAAGAGCAGCAACTCGACGTGACTCACTTCACCAAGCTATAGCTAGTGTTCAAGGAGCTAAATTGCAAATTGTTACAGGGCAGTCTTTTTATCAACTGATTTGGATACCGAGCCGCATCAAGGTAGGTGATAATAACTGAAAAAAGGAAACTTGCATTCAGTAGATGTTATTCAACTGTTTGGGTAGTTATGATCGAGGCCCCAATGATGTACCTTTTTCTATATGGAAATGAAAACCAGACAAGCTTTCTTCTTAAAATGTGAAGCAGGAGGGACAGGTTTTTATGGATCAGGTTTTTATCGATCAGGTTTTTATCGATCAGGTTTTTATCGATTAGGTTTTTATCGATCATTTCCACAGTTAAAGAAGACCCAGTCATTACAAGAAAGAACAAGTATCGTTTGGGTGTTTGCAGTGTTCAGCCCCATTTCAAAACACCTGGAGTAACAATGTTCACGTTGAGTTGTATAAACTATTTAGAGTACTTGTATGTTTTTCGTTTGTAGTCTTGCAACATGGAAGGAAGATTCGATGTTCTGTTCTTACTCTTTGGGGCGGTCACCATCATGGCAGATGGTATGTTAAGAATACTTTGCTCAATCTCGTTACCAGATCCTACCGTGTAACTCTAACTGAAATGTCCTGAAATGTAGGATCTGGTTGACTGCCTGGATCCTTATAACCCCTTGGCCGTGAAAGATCTGGGTACAAGACACAAAGACCTGTTTTGTTTCATTATTTTACCAGAAAAATCAGGGCTGTGGTTATAGTATAGACCAAGTAACGATCAGGACAAAAATTCAGGACAAAATTACAAATAAATGTGACCTGAATTTGTTTTCTTTAATCTCTTTAATGCTGATTTAGGAAGCTGTCATACCAATGACCGTTGGGAATGCGGATGGCTGGGAATAAATCAGGAGACGTGTGAGGCGCGAGGGTGCTGCTGGGATAACAGTGATCCGAACAAGAAGTGGTGCTATGTCAAACCTGGCACACGTAAGAATTTACATGTTGAACAGCTTGGCTGAATAAAAAACATAAATAAATAAAAATACCATTTTGAAAATTCACTACGTTGGAATAGAAAAAAACCTTTGCAGTAAAACCTCAGCTGAATTCTTTAGAACTTGAAAGAACATTTCCAGTGAAAATTATGATCACTTTGTCGGGAATTGTGGCGTATTTTGCGTGCTAAAGTGATAACCAATCATCGCGCATGACCGTGACCAAATGATGACGGTAAATCAAATCGCCATCTTGGATAATAATCTGGCTATATGGTTGTTCGATTTGTATCACGTGGTACAAAATACTCTTCTCTAATTGGCTGTGTGCCTTATGAGCCCCTTATACTACTATTACGTCATTATAGATCTCCCAGATGGACTCTGCCCCGTTGCTCCTTCTGAGCGCCAGGAATGTGGTTGGTATGGCATTAAGGAGGAGGAATGTCTGGAAAAGTCTTGTTGTTGGGATCCTACTGTCCCTGACGCAAAGTGGTGCTTTAATCAGCCAGGTGAGCGCATTGTTTAGAGAAATTCACAAACAAGGGGTGAAGTTAAGGTTGCTACGTTCTATGGTTTGTCTAGTGGTAAACTCTCACCACTTTCTCTATCGGAGTCCTAAAATAGAACTACTTGCCTTAGTAAGACAGAAACATGAACAAAATAACTCAAATTATTCCTGCACATGTTCTTTTCAATATTTTGTTCCGATTTTTTTTTTTCATTCAAACGAAAATGCTGATTATGAATTGCTTTCATGTTTCTATCCTGACGCGCGCTGGTGGTTTGTTGAACTGCAATTTGGAATAGCACAATTTTTAATTGAGTGTCAAAAGTAATCGGGGACGTTTTTAAATTTGCTCTGTGATTGGTCCAAGAAACTTGCGCCATTCTCTCAACCAATCAGACGCAAAACTAAAAACGATCGTGACTTTGTACGTCGTTTGCGTTTTCCCGCGCTTCAAGCAGTTTTCTCGTTTTCGCTTTGAGTTCTCAGTTGGCTAATGATGATGTAAGCTTTTGTTCTGATTGATCGCTGGAATCACTTAAATTTGGGTTTTTCGACACTGGATTTAAAAATACTCTATCTGATGTAAAATTAAGCTAATTGCAGCTTGTTCTGTCCCATTTTCCTCCGCGATTTAATCCAATGGCATGTATATTAATGAGATTTCATTATTTCCATGTGATATTTACGTTTATTTCATACTTACTGATGCATAAAAAAAAACTCACTCGTTCGCTGCACTCACTCGCTCGTTTTATTGATGCATCGCAATCGTGAATAAAAATCGTTCGTGCACACTTTCCATAGAATTATCTCTATTATTCCAATATCTTTGGTGATTAATTTGGTTCTATATCTAGTTATACGACACACAACTAAAAGCGCTTTTGTACTGAAATGATAAAGGATTAATCAAGGGACTGCGCTGATCAGTTGTCATAACATTGTAAATAATTTACATCTCGGCAGACGAACCACCAATGAGTTGCTACCTTGGATATGGCTTGTCTGGAACCTGCAAATATGTTTGCGACCCAGGAGAAGATCATATGTACGGTATGTCAGACTGCGAGGGACGCATCTGCTGTTACCATGGCTTCGGAAAATGGTAAGTGGTTAACACCTATGAGTATGGATTTTAACCTTTTGGCCCCCACGGGTGATCAGCATCTAATTTCTCCTTACTGTATCACCCTTAATAAAACATTAAGGTCCTGAGAATAAAGGAAATAATCGCTAATTAAACAAACTCTTGATTGTTAAACAAATTCTCCTTGTCAGCAATTTAAGAATGCAAAGGGAACTGTATGGAGAATATGCATACTGATTTTGGGGGGTAAAGGATAAAAAGAGAAAAAGTTTGTTCTAACCATACAGCCATCCACTTTAAGAAATATCAAGCATTATTATATGATAGCAAGGTAGCCTAGAGGTAAATCCGAGCGTTCTGATCGGGTCTCACTTGGTCGAGATTTTGCCATGCGTAAAGGAAACCTTCATAAGCCGTGCATTTTTGCTCACGAAAGCCGGAAAATTACAGTTTGGTCCGAGTGCCACAGAATAAACTGCTTAATGCTAACATCGCTTGCTCGAGCTGCACTGGGAATTATTGGCCCTCGGTCGTTTTTGTACGGACCTCGCTGCGCATGGTCCGTACTGCCACCACCACGGACCAATGATATTCGCCGGTGTGGCCCTCGTGTTCGGTTAGTAAGAAGTTAATCAATTTGCTATCTGCTAATTGCAATTATGTCAATTGTTTCTCAGATCTCATGTCATGGGTACAAAGAAGTGAACTACACTGAGATGCTTATACTTTGACTGAAGATCTTCAACAAGGGATCCATTCCTTGAGATCCTAAAATTGCTTTTAGTATGTACTAGTATTGTATTATGGGACGTATCAAGGCAACATGCTGTAAAAGAATGGAAATAAAATGGGATACAACGGAGAAATTCAGTTCCTTAGTAATTTTAGTGTATATTAGTTAACTGCATGACATGTATTTTTATAGTTGATATCGTATCCTATAGACCACTTTCATAAATGGCTGCCGGATTAATATTCTTTTGTTTAAATTCAAATTAGCCCTACTGGCCTCGTTCTCCAGTACAAAATTCAAAAGAACACATTGTCTCAAGCGAGGCCAGAAGGGCTAATTTAAATTTAAACAAAAGAATATTAATACGGCAGCCATTTATGAAAGTGGTCTATTAGCCTTTTTAGTCGTGGATATGCAAAGCATAGGGGTGGGTATGGGGTATGATCATGTTGCACAGTTTGAATTGCCCCCCTTCCCTCCGAGTTTGCACAAAACAATATCCCATTTTCAAAATCTCGTTAAGCGAGACTGTAACTACCTTACAATAGCCACCTAGATACACTCTATAAATATATATGCAAAATTGCAAAATACATTTGGCGTTTTTTGAAAACTCTGCTCTCTGGATTTAAGTTGGAC